ATATATATATATATATATATAAAAAATACAAAAAAAATATAAAAAATATAGGTATATATATCTATATATATATATATATATATATATATATATATAAATATATATATATATATATATATATATATATAGATATATATATATATATACACATATATATATCTATATATATATACATATATAGTTTGTAGGGGGGGTTGTGTGTCTGTGTGTGTTTGTGTGTGTTTGTGTGTCTGTGTGTGTGTGTGTGTGTTTGTGTGTGTTATTTGAACACCGAGCTCACCTCAAGTTTCACAATGCACACACATGACGCAGGTTTTCGAGCACGCTTCAACCACTGGGCGGATTCACGGCGCAGTGGCTGACAGACCCGTCTGACATCTTCGTGTTTGGCGACTTCTTCAACACAGTGCAGGGGCAGCGGCACCCGACGTGGCGCGGCTACGTTGTTCCGCCCATGGGCAACCTCCTCTCAGAAAAGGTGCAGCCGCGGGCCGTGGGGTGCTGTGTTGTTGTGTGGTGTGTACGTTGGCGCGGTGCAGTGGTGATGCAATATGTTGTCGGGTGCTCTTGTGCTTCCATGCGTTCTTGTACCGCTTCTGCGTCTGCTTTCCTTGCGCATGTGTGGCCTGCGATTGCTTCTGCCCGTCTTTCACACACACACACACACACACACACACACACACACACACACACACACACACACACACACACACACTCACACATACGTATGTGCGCATGCATACGCGCGCTCACACTGCCGCACATGCCACCTCTCCTCCCTCAACAACGCGGATCACAATGCCAGATGCTGTGGACGACGGAGTTTCATCTGCGGTCACTCACTGCGCGCGCGTGGGGCACCATCGTCACCATGAACGGTGCAATTGTCGTCGCCGGCGGCTTCAGCGGCACCGAGATTGTCTCTGTTTGGGGTGTGGAGCCGGGCAACCTCATCGCCCCCTCTGCCCGCAGTGATGATGATGAGGACGCGAGCGACGACAGCACCGCGCCACTGATTGACCCCACGCAACTCCGCCCGCCATCGGAGCGGGCAGCGCCATCTGGGCTGCCAACACTGCACTGGCACCGGCTGGACCGCGACCCCTCGGAGCACAGCCACCCGCAGCCGCGGTTTGGTCACATCGCTGTTGCTGTGGACGACGACCGCATGTACTACGGCGCCGGTCGCACCAGCCAGTCCAACGAATGTTTCACAGACGGATGGATCTTCACCATGTGCGTGCAGCGTAGGCAGGCGGTGGGACGGTGTGTGTGTGTGCGTGCTAGTGTGCGTGCTAGTGTGTGTGTGCGTGCTAGTGTGCGTGTGCGTGTGCGTGTGCGTGTGCGTGTGCGCGTGTGTGTGTGTGTGTGTGTGTGCTTCCACCTGCCCGTCTGTGTACATGTGCGCCGCGTGCGCTCCGGTCTATTGCCGCGTCAATTCACTTCTCTTCGCTTCACTGTCCTCGAACCACTAACGATGCGCTATCTCCTCCCACCCTGGCTCCACCACCACAGCTCCAAACGCGAGTGGCGAAAGGTGACAGATTCGATGCCAGCACTGCGTGGAATGTGGCTGATTCGACACAACGACCTCCTCATTGCATTCGGTCAGTTGTATGCAACGGTGGTGGTGGTGATGATGACATTCACACTTGTGTGCATTCACTTGCTAGCTGCGCTGTCCTGTGCGCTTGCGCTCCTCTCACCGCATATGCTTACTCACTCGCTCGCACGCACACACACGCACACACACGCACACACACACACAACTCAGGCGGGTGGGATTGCTCAACAAAGGCGACGAACAAGCTGCATGTAGCCTCTGTGGAGGACTTTGAGTGGCGGGAGCAGGAGGCAACAGGCGACCTCCCCCTCCCTCGCGGCTACGCTGCTGGCAGCGTGCTGCTCAGCGAGGATGGGCGACAGGAGCTGGTGGTGTTTGGCGGAATGCACAACTGGCTTGACGTTGGCTTGCCAGACGACAACTTTGTGTACGCGCTGGACTTGGAGACGTTCCACTGGCGCCGCACCACGAACAATACAAACACATCCCCGCCAAAGGTGTGCTGTGCGGCTTTATTGTGCATTCTGCATTGGCTTCACGGCTCCAATCGCGTCTCTCCTTCTTTCCACGCCACACCTTGTCTTTCGCCTTCCTACCTCCTTCTACATCCACTCACTCACTCACTCACTCACTCACTCACTCACTCACTCACTCACTCACTCACTCACTCACTCACTCACTCACTCACTCACTCACTCACTCACTCACTCACTCACTCACTCACTCACTCACTCACTCACTCACTCACTCACTCACTCACTCACTCACTCACTCACTCACTCACTCACTCACTCACTCACTCACTCACTCACTCGCTCGCTCGCTCGCTCGCTCTCGCATGCACGTTGCGCTCGCAGCGGCACCAACACTGCGCTGCACGCGTGGGAGACCGCCACATGTTTGTGATTGCGGGCCGCAGCAACCAAGTGCCGCATCGGGACGTGTGGCACTATGACCACTGGAAGCGCAAGTGGACGCGCGTGGTTGATGCAGCAAACTCCCCGCTAATGCTGGAGACGGTGCGGTACGGACACCTGTGCGAGACGTTTAACAACACCATCTTCATCATTGGCGGATCCAACGGTAACGGGTACCTGTCTGATATGGAGCTGTTCGTGCCGTCGTGCAACCGCGGTGAGGAAGGCAACCTGACCACGGGCGAATGCGCCCCTTGTGCAAAGGGCAGCTTTCGCTCAGACTTGAACAAGCCCGCCTGCACCACATGCAATGAGGGCACAACGACGCTCAAGGAAGGCGCCTCCAGTCGCCAGCTGTGCTCCGTGTGCAAGCCTAACTACTGCGTCAACGGGTACCCCGTGCTGCAGGCTGCATCGCTCACAGCAACCAGCGACGAAGACGAAAGCACAAACGCATCGCCTTCCTCCTCCTCCTCCTCCTCCTCCTCCTCCTCATCATCATCATCATCATCATCATCATCATCATCATCATCATCATCATCATCATCATCATCATCATCATCATCATCATCATCATCATCATCATCATCATCATCATCATCATCATCATCATCATCATCATCATCATCATCATCATCATCATCGTCACCGGGCGAGGGCGCCCCCACCAATGCGGACGTGTCCCCGTTTGTGTGCAGCTGCCAGTGCCCGTGGAGCTTCTACGGCAAGCGCTGCCAGCACACGTGGCGCGGTGCGTTTGCTGCCGGCCTCATCTGCGGGCTGCTTGGCGCCGCCTTGCTTGCGTATGGCGCGCGCTACCTCTACCGCCAGCACCGCCGCGTGCAGGATGCCGTGGAGCTGAAGCAGCTGCTGCTGGAGGAGAGCACGAAGGAGCTGCTTGAGCTTGAGTCTGCGCTGTCCATTCGCCCGGAGGACCTTGACGTCAAGGAGGTGCTGGATGAGGGCGGGTTTGGCGCCGTGTATCTGGCGCACTGGAAGACGCAGGACAAGCTGGTGGCAGTGAAGAAGCTGCGACAGGCGCTGTTGATGATGGACGACAAGTCCAAGGAGGACTTTCTCCACGAGATTCGCTTCATTCGCACGCTGCACCACCGCAACGTCGTGTGGTTCTACGGCGCAAACACCAACCTGGAAGGCGACATGTTCCTGGTCATGGAGTACCTCTGCCGCGGTGACCTGAGCACCATCCTGCTCGACACGGATGCGCCCCTGTCGCTGCTGCGGCGCCACGGGTTTATGCTGGATGCTGCGCGCGGCATGGAGTACCTGCACAGCCGCAGCCCGCCCCGCATCCACCGGGACTTGAAGAGCCAGAACCTGCTGGTGACGGACAACTGGGTGGTGAAGGTGGCTGATTTCACCACGGCGAAGCAGCTGGCAGACACGGACCGCCACGCCAGCAGCGGCACTGGCGGTGACGGCAGTGGTGTTCACGCGTACGCTGGCGGCGCTGGCATTGGTCGTGGTGGTGGTGGCACTCGCGGTGCGATGGGATGGGTGCGTGGTATGGGCTTCCGTGCTGGCAGCGCCCTGAAGCGTGCGGTATTCCGGAGCAGCACCAGCCACACCAGCAGGACTCACAGCAGGCTGCCGCCACGACCCGCCCCCGGTCGGGCGCCCTTGCCGTATGGCAGCAGCGGTGGGCGCGACCGTGACGGGAGCTTGCTGTCCATTCCTGACATGGTGGACACAGGAGCCGGGCTTGGAAGTTCTGGCTGGAACCGCAACAACACGGCAGGCCTGTCTGTGCGCAGCCGCACCAAGAGCGCAAGCGCAGCCAAACGCCAGCAGATGATGCAGTCGACGATGTTTGGCACGCTGCCGTGGCTGGCGCCGGAGGTGCTGCGCCAGCAGCCGTATGACCTGAGCGTGGACGTGTATTCGTTTGGCATTGTGGTGAGCGAGATTGCGTCGCGCCAGCTGCCCTTCCACGACTTCAAGGGCAGCCTCCGGCAGGCGATTGTGGATGGGGTGCGGCCCACGGTGCCGGAGAGCACGCCGCGCGCGTGGGTTGCGCTGATGCACGCGTGCTGGCACGAGCGGCCATCGCGCCGACCGCCATTTAAGGACATCGTCAGCGCACTTGAGCGGGACGTGATGCTGCTTGCTGAAGACAGTAGTGAGGAGAAACGATGTGATGTGGGGCGGAGTGAGGAGGGCGAGGAGAGGGGTGATGTTGTGGATGCGACTCCAGTATGACGTGGTGTGTGTGTGTGTGTGTGTGTGTGTGTGTGTGTGTGTGTGTGTGGTTGCACACGAAGGCGGCAGGAGTTGACGATCAAGTTGGGTGGAGGTTTGGTTTATTCTGTTACGTTTACGTGAGGCTACGTCAATACCACAGATCGGTTGATGCATGTACAACAAGGACAGCTTATATGTGTGTATGCGCGTGTGTGTGTGCGTGTGTGTGTGTGTGTGTGTGTGTGTGTGTGTGTGTGCGTGTGTGTGTGTGTGTGTGTGTGTGTGTGCGTTATTACGAGTAATGCGGCTTGCTTGGCTATTAAAGAAAGAAGTTGCCAACAAGAACGAAGGAGGTACGGTCGTTGATGGCTTGTGGGTGGTGTCAACAACCTATGGTGTCTGTAATTGCACAGACAGAGAGTTGCACCCTCACTCATCGAGTCACTCAATTACTCGCGCGCGCGCACACGCAAACGCACACACGCACCCACACGCAAACACACGCATTCACTCACGCATTCACTCAATCACTCACTCACTCGCTCACTCACGCACCCACACGCAAACACACGCATTCACTCACTCACGCACGCACGCGCGCACACACACGCGCGCAAACGCACACACACACACACGCACACACACACACACACACACACATACACCTCATGACACGTCGACGGTGAGGGCGTCATGTGAGAGATGTAACGCTGTACTGAGAAAGCCGAGGATGTCTTCACGATACGTGGCTACGGCCGCAGGGATCAGGGTTCCCTTGTAGTCGTCATGCTCAAACCCAAACAAGGTGTGGGTTTGCTTGACAGTGGAGAGGGACACGTCCTTACAGCAGTCGCTGAGCTCCTCCAAGACCTGTGATCGCAGCACGTCGACGTTGCCGACCTTGGCCAGCTCGTCGCTGTGCAGCTCGCGCAGCACGACGTCTGCGCCAAAGAGCAGGGCATCGCGAACAATGACGCGCATGTGCTGGCGCCACACCTCATCCGACTCGAGCACGGGCCGCACGCAGCGCAGGAACCAGCGCGTGCACTCCTGCGATGCCAGGGAACGCGGCAGCATGCTCGCCAGGTCGTGGGTCATGGCCTGGTAGTAGCGGTTACTGTGGTCGTCGTGTTTTCGCCGCTCACAGAACACCTTCCACAGCACCTCTGCGCTCTCCAACTGTCGCGATTGCAGCAGCGGCAGCAGCTTGTGCAGGACAACCTGCGTGCCGAGCTTCCTGCGATGAAAGTGCGCGAAGTAGTACGCCAAGGCGGACGGCGACACCTGCACGTCCGGGCTGCTTGGCAGCCGTACATCCTTCCACAGCCATGCTGGGTGGACGGCAGCCACAAACTCGTTGTACCAGCGCAGCGTTGTTTTGGAGCACATGGCCAGGTGCGCCACATCTGCGTGCGATAGGTGCGTGGCCATGACATCGCGGGCCTGCAGCCCAAACCGCATCAGGAACTGCTCCAAGTCGCTGCTGCCAGCCTCACCATGTGCATGCTCGCTTGCAGGTTGCAGTGTGCTTTGTTGGGGCCGCTGGTGCTGCTGGTGCTGCTGATGCTGCTGATGCTGATGCTGATGCTGATGCTGCTGCTGCTGGTGCTGGGCGTCTCCTTGCCCTTGTTGGCGTTGGTGTTGGTCGTCTCTTGTTCCTCCCGCTTCATCATCTCTTGCCCTTCTTGCTTCGTCTCCTGCTTCACTCCGATTTTGCTGATCAACGCCTTCTTTACTTGCATGCTCCCCACACGACACCACCGGTGGTGGTGTCTCCGGGTCCGACGCACACGCTTCAGAACGAGGCTGGGGCATCTGGGAAGTGGCGCTGCCCTCCTCGGCGTCAACGTCGTCCATCGCCTGTGTTGCTTCTTGTGGGTGAGCAGGTGCTGGTTGTCCTTCTGCACAAGACAAAACAACAAAGCCTGAAATCAGTCGACGAAAGATTCGACTGACTTCAGTGTTTGTCGACTGACTTCAGTGGTGCATTGCCAAAGCCGCGCACGTTGACAGCCAAGCAAGAAGTCTGACGATGGTGCTGGGTTTGGGGCTTGGTGGTGCTGGTGGTGGTGCGAGGCGGTGGCTGCATGTTGGGGGCAGGGCCGACCGTGCTCGACTGCGCCTTGGCGGGGATGGTGGCGGGCGTGGCAGCGGGAGTGGGGGTGGAGGTGGTGATGGTGGAAGGAGAAGGATGAGAAGGAGTGGAAGAAGGGTGCTTATGCACATGCAGGATTTGCAGCCTTGTCCCGCACACATGCGCGCGCGGTTGGGGAGTACGCTCGTGGCACTGGAAGATGCGGTGCAGCACCGCGATCCGCTGCGCTTCCACTGGCTCCTGCAATGCCTCAATGATCTCGGATTCCAATGCACGCGGTCGTACTTGCAGGCGTGCCTCTCGCAGCTTGCAAAAACAAAAGTCTTGCCCACGCCGGCACCGCTATCCGCACACGGACACCATCGCCATCGTAAGCCACGCTGGTGGTCCACGACGTTGCCTTCCTCGACATGCACGACTGCAAACGCGACCGCGCACGCAACGCCTGCAGCAAGCTGGGTCGCCTCTACGTCCACGGGCCTGACACAGTCGCCTGAACACGATGCACAGCGATCGCGGCGACTCAGGAGACGGAGACGGCAGCACACGCTGGAGCCGGTGGAGCTGCTGTTTGACACCCAGTGCCGAAAACAGACGCAGCCGCGGGTGACGCAAGGGCAAGGCAGCAACTTAACTGCTGCATCATCCGCAACAGGAAGACATGCAACCGCCAGTGAACGCACCATCAACAACAACGACAGCAGCAGTAGCAGCAGCAGCGACAGCTCTTCCCCTGCGCAGCTGCCTCGTAGTGTAGCGGTGATGGATACGCAAGCAGCACACGCCATCGACCGACTCATGCAGCCGTACGCGCTGGCTGGCGATATCGAATCCATTCTCGGCATCTCCTTCTACGCAAGTGCGGCTGGCGTGCCGCTTGCACCTGCCATCCACAGCACCATCTTTGCCACGCTGCTGCGAGCGGACCTTGAGGAGCCCAGCAAACGGCGTCTATGCCCAACACGAAGCGGGCTCTTTCGCGTGCGCTTGCCTCTGCAGGAGCACCACTCATGGCACCACCCCGCAACACCGGGTGTTGTGACCGATACTGGCACGCGCCCTGGGGCCCGTACAACGCACACATCCACCCCCTCCAAACCAGCGTCCGCCACAACTGCAGGCACAACTGCGACAGCTGCATCGTCTCGTGCCGCAACCACAACACCTGTGTCGTCAACGCCACCGTCAGAAGGCACCAAGGCACCGCGACCCGGCACAGAGCAGCCGTGCATTGTGTGGGTGAGTAACAAAGGTGATCGCAGTGGCAGCAATGGCAGCGACCGTGGCAGTGGTGGCCGCGGCGGAGACCACAACGGTGCGAAAGAGAAGCAGCAAGATGGGGAGAACGCGCCAGCAACGATCAAAGGTGGTGATGGGAAGGGCGGCGGCGGTGTTGATGGAGATGGAGGCGCATCAGGCCGCCCAGACAGTCGCGAGAGAAGACGCGCGTCCATCCTCATCCTGGATATGGAGCGGGTTGGCAAGGTGCCACCCACATCAACAATCACAGCAACACAGAGCGCATCTTCGTCACGCAACAACCGGCGTGGCAGGCGAGGACGGGTGCCGGGTGCAAGGGGCACGCGGTCGGCGTCCAAGTGCCCGCACACGCCCAGTCAACAGCAACAACAACAACAACAACAACAGCGATGCCCGTCAAGTGACGATGAAGGTGCAAGTAGCACAACTTCCAACACTAGCAGCAGCAACAACAGCAACAACAACAACAGCAACAACAACAACAACAACAACAACAACAACAACAACAACAACAACAACAACAACAACAACAACAACAACAACAACAACAACAACAACAACAACAACAACAACAACAACAACAACAAGGACCACATGTTGCCCACAGCACCACCATCGCCACTGCGGTGGGAGCAGGACCACTGGGTTGGTGAGGGTCAGCCGAGCGAGATGCGTGCGCTGGACAGAATCGAGCATCGGCAGCGTGCCGGCAAGCACGCGCATGACGAAAGTGGCGACGGTGGTAGTGTTGTTGATGACCACAACGATGATGACGATGACGACGACGACGACGACGATGAGTATGACGAGTATGAGTTTGCGCCATGGGGTGGTGGTGATGGGGATGAGGACGACTACGACAGGGCAGGCAGCCGGTTTGCACGTGCCGGCGGTGCAAGGGGTGGTGGTTATCGGGACGAGTTTGAGGACGGTGGGGAGCAGGACATCTGGGGGGAGGGCTACGAGTATGGCTTTGGGGATGGTGCCGGTAATGACGAGGGCGATAGCAGCGATGGCCACCATGACGGTGACCTGCATGAGGGCGATGAAGATGTGCTGGAACAGCCGTTCCACAGCGTGATGTACTGTGGCGAGCCGGAGTACTTTCGCACCGACGAAGACAGCTCTGACGTGTACCATCGGCTTGAGCGCCACTTTGATCGCCACCATCGCCTCCGTGCAGCGCAGGCGACACACGCGCTGCTGCGTGACCACCCAGCCATCTATCAAGCCCTGATGCGTGATGCGCACGTTGATTTCCTCGACACGGGCCTGGACCCCAGCACAGCGCACACGCTGCGGCGACCGTCTTTGTTTGCTGCTGGTCACGTCGTGCACGGCAGTCCAAGCCTGAACACGCACCTGCGCTCGCTTGCCGATACTGGCGATTACCACACGGTTCACCGCGTGCTGGAAGCCATGTATTTCACCCACACCCCCATCACACCAGCTTGCCTCAAATCGCTTCTCAAAGCACACATTGTCGCCACCACCCTGAACTAGCTGTGTGTGTGTGTGTGTGTGTGTGTGTGTGTGTATCTGTGTGTGTGTGTGTGTGTGTGTATCTGTGTGTGTGTGTGTGTGTGTGTGTGTGTGTGTGTGTGTGTGTGTGTGTGTGTGTGTGTGTGTGTGTGTGTGTGTGTGTGTGTGTGTGCCTATGTGTCTATGTGTGTCTTGGTGTGTGTGTGTGTGTGTGTGTGTGTCTTGTCTGTGTGTCGCCAATTAGGAACAATTTCCAATAAATTTCCGACACACCAGCGACCACGTGTCGCAACGGCGTTCATCAGCATCCTTCACCCATCGCAAGTCAAGAAGACTTCAAGAAGTCACACCACTCAACACACCACCACCACCACCACTACATACGTAACGACCACCTCGAGAAGAGCAACAGCAACAACGACAGCGCCCTCAGGTCAGCAAGCTCGTTCGACCTCAACTCGCGCTGATGCGGGTGGGTGCGACACGCCCTTCGCGCCTGTCACCCGGCGCTGCCGCCCTTCTCTTCAGCACTCTCTGTGTTGTGTTGGCGGCAGCATACATCCCCGGTGCAGCCTGTCAAGACAGCCAGCCCACCACCGCAGCCGGGCAACAAGAGCATGCTCCCCTCCTGAAACAAGAGGGGCCCACCATTACAGCGGAGTCGGCGACAAGCAGAGGCACAGGAGGCGGCATCACTGCCCAAGCTGGGGCCAATGCTAGCGTTCACGTCTTGACTGTCCAAGCCAAGGCCCCAAATGCTGCATCACCACACACCTCCACTTGTTGTGTGGGTGGGTTGGATCTTGTGGCCGCACTGCGCAACGTCAGCAAAGCCGCTGTGGCAGCACTTGGTGCCGTGGCGGATGACGACCCCACCTTCGACACCGCCGTCAGCTCCAAACTGATGGACGTGCTTGCACACGGGCAAGGAGCGCCATCAACCTCCATCTCCCTTTCACAGGATGCCCAGGTGCACGCCGCCTGCATTGACCACGACAACCAAGAGGCAGGCGATGAGAGCACCACACCGCTTCGGTACCACCCCGGGCTTTGTGCAGATGACGCCAACAACCTGCACATCAACCCAAGTCCCGGCCGGGATGTGTGGCTGTGGCCGCAACCAGACACGGGCTCCCTGTACGTTGGCGATGTTGATGTGGTGGCCTTTCTCCGCACGGTAAGCGCCAGTCTTGCCAGCATCACAGGCAGCTTGTTTCGTGAAGCAGGTGCCCTCGGTCTGGCAACAACAGCTGACATCGACGTGGACAGCCTCGACACCATTGCCCGGTTCGCCTTGATGCCCTCCCCATTTCGGGGTGCGGGTGAAACTGAGAGCCACAACAGCAGCTTTGACGATAGCGAAAGCATAGCCAGTGAGAGCACAGTCACAATTGACGACAACGGTGACCTGCACCTTCACAGCACTGGAGACATTCGCTTTCGTTCACTCCAACAGCAGTCACGCCACAACGCGAGTGCTTGGCCTGGACCGCTGGTCGTGGACGGGATGGACATCCTCTACGTGGTGAAGTTGCTGCAGCAGGCCCAGGCTAAGCTGACTGGAATCCCCTGCTACGGACATTCGCCGACCTTCGCGCTCAACTGCGCTGATCAAACGTCCCGCTCGCTGCTTGCACTGCGTTCCTCGATACCATTGTGCAGCATCGTGAATGTGACCAACTGCTGCTGTCGCGAGCTCAGCTTTGTTCGGTCCATTGCCACGTCCGTGAGCATTGCTGCGAACACGGTCCACGCCAATTTGACTGGTCTGGCCAGCGTCGGCGGCGCCATTGCCGTGGAAGAGAGCGACATCACTGCAGCGCGCCTCCGCACGATTGCCTTTGGGCAGATGACCTACATTGGTGGAGACGTACGGCTGTCTATGACACCATTGCAGGCGCTCTCATTCGCGAACATCACCAGCATTGACGGGCTTGTGGACCTCAGTGAGAACACGCACCTCACCGCCGTTGCCTTTGGTGCCCTCAATCGCATCAGCGCCACGTTGAACCTCAACCGCAACTCCAACCTCAGCAGCATCGACTTTGGTGCCTTGACTCACATTGGCGGGGAACTTCAGCTGGAAGGCACTGGTTTGCAGGCGCTAGTGCTGCGCGGCATCCAACACATTGGCTCCATCATACACTTGAACAACAATGAGCAGCTTCAGCACGTTGACCTGGCCGACCTCACCGCCATTCCCCAAGCCCTGTACCTTGCCGATTCAAGCAGTCTCCAATCTGTTAATTTGGGGCATGTGACCTCTGTCGCAGGCAATCTCAATTTGTTCCGGAACGGTAACCTCAGCTCCGTCATGTTCCCCAACTTGCTGCGAGCAAACGGTGCCATCTACCTCCACGAGACTCGCATCCCGACGCTTGCTTTCAGCCAAGTAACGACAATCGCGGGCGCGCTGTTTGTCGACAACTGCCACCAACTGACCCTCATTGACTTTGGCGCACTCACCAGCATCTTGGGCACGGTTAAGCTGCATCACAACGACGCACTCACCAGCATCAACTTTGCAAACCTGAGAAGCACCAAGAGCCTTGAACTGCACGACAACAGCATCCTCACGTCTGTTGACTTTGCAAGTGTGAGCACAGTGAATGGGGATGTGGACCTGACCGCATGTCCCCAGTTGCAATCGGTGGACTTTGGCACGGGACAGCTTAGCATCGAGGGCAAGCTGCTGCTCCAAGGCAACTCGCAACTGACCACGCTTGACTTTTCAAATGTGACTGCCATCAATGGGATAATTGACATTCGCGATTGCGAGCAGCTTGAATCTGTTGATTTTTATCACTTGGGCTCGTGTCTCTGTGTAGATGGTCCCACCATGGTGTCCCGTGCTCCACAGTACTGCTTGCTCTGCTAACGCAATGACAGTTGGTGTGTATGTGTGTGTGTATCTGTGTACATTTTGTGGGAGAGCTGTTTAGTTGGTTGGCTGGTAATTCTTGTTGCTTTGATGTGACAGTGTGGCTGCCGCGATGAATGCAAGCTTTAGCTTGCGCACTCTCTCTTTTGCTCTTAGTTCTAGATGGTGTATACTATTCCAAGCCAAGTCAGCCCTTGCCCAGTAAGCAATAGCGTGCTTATCGAGTGACTTCCACACCAACTCCGTTTTGGCGGGAAAATCGACTGCAGCATCTCAAACATGAAGCACACAAACACGGACTTTTGTGCGGCATGTTGTTGCGGTTGTTGCTGGCGTTGCAGAGGTGCAGTGGGTTGTGTTGATGTGAAAAGTACACGCTGATACCGCATGCCCACGCGTGCATCGTGAACAAGACCCGTGCTACACTGTCACATTAATTGCTTTGCGCCTTGAGTGTCACGACAAGCCAGTTGTTGACGTGCTGCATGCACGGTTTGCTGAACTTGAGGCTCGCACACAAGCAAGCCACCTGAGCAGCAAACACATTCAACGTACACACACTCCCACGCATACATGCACGCACGCACATTCACACGCACATTCACGCACATTCACACACTCCCTCACTCTTGAGCACCAAAACGCCGCAGCTCAAAGGGTGAAGATATCAGATGACAACGCCGAGACCAGTCAGCACTGCTGCCGCATGGGCGATGCCCTCTGCGTCGGCGACCACGGCAACGCCCGCAAGCCTCAGTAGCCGCAATCAAAGCCGAAGCCGAAGTGCGCGGCAGAGTTCTCGCGCACGCCGCGGCATGTCCACATCCACTTCCGCTCGTTCTGGAACAGCTCCTCCCGCTCGAACCCCGAGAAGCGTGCGCCACACAACACCGGCGGCTGCCGCCGTCCCCACTACCATCTGCGCTGTCGTTGAAGGCCGCGGGTGAGCGCCAGCTCATGGGTTCTGGGATTACTTGTGTGTGCGAGTGTGAGTGTGCACGTATCTATGTGCTTGTGTGTGTGTGTGTGTGTTTCACTATTGTGTTTGAGCTCCACCACTTCACCACTTCACCACTTCACCACTTCACAACTTCTTCGCCCCCTTTATGCACCGCATGAACCCACTTCCTGCTTCATCGTTGCATCCCCACTGCTCACTGTACACTGCGCAGAAAGGCGAGGGGAGAGATTGGACTCGCTTCCGTGGACTTGAACGGTGCTGTGGCCGAGCTGTCGCAGTTCAGCGATGGTGCGACGTACCTGAAGACATTCACCAAGGTCCACTACTTTTCTCCAATTGAGGTGGTCATGCCTTCCACCATGTGTGCGGAGAAAGGGTCAAAACTCTTCACAGCCTTGCGCGAGCACCACCCGGACTTGGACATTGTCAACATCCCGCGCAAGTTCTTTGCCGAAGAAAAGGGTACGCAAGTAAGCAGGCGTGTGTGTGCTTGTGGCGGGAACATTGCGACGTGTACTTGAATGCGCATGTGTGTTTGTATGCACATGTGTGTGTGTGTGTGTGTTTGTATGCACATGTATGTGTGTGTGTGCGTTTGTATGCACATGTATGTGTGTGTGTGTGCGTGCATCGTTGGACTGTTGATGACTACTCGCTTCTTGGCGCCATAATTTTGTTGCTTTCAACATTTGGTGTGTGTCGGGCAGGGCTGGCAGCCATTTCCAAACTCGTTCAAGATGACTTTCGCAGCGTTCGATTTGAAGTGCAAGACAAGTCAGTGCTCTGAGACAGTGACAGAGAGAGAGAGAATGAGGGGGAGAAAGAGGGCGCACGCGTGCTTTAGAATGTGCACGAGCGGCCAAGCGATTCACTCACATGCATTTGCTTGTCGTCATGCATGCGTCAGAGAGTTCGTAGTGTCTTTCTTTCTCACATGAGACTACCCACATTCGCCCACACCCACTTCCACCAGGTTCTACGCTTTGGCTGCGTTTGGCGCCCTGATCAAGTACGTTAGCCATGTGCAGAACATGGTCTTTGCACCCAACTCACTCAAGATCATCTACTCCGGCAACACGTGCGCTACAATGATGGGTGCGTTACATGAGGCTGTGTGCTGTGGTGAGGTGAACAGGCTCTTTGTGTACATATGTGGGTGTGTGCGTGTATGTGTGTGGGTGTGTGCGTGTATGTGTGTGTGTGTGTGTGTACGCGCGTACGTGTGTGTGTGCGTGTGTATGTGTGTGTGTGTGCGTACGTGTGTGTGTGCGTGTGTATGTGTGTGTGTGTGTGGGTGTGTGCGTGCATGTGTGTGTGTGTGTACGTGTGTGTGTATGTGCTCACTATGGTGTGCAGTGTATTTGGCTGCTCCAATGAATGCGTTGCTGTCCCTTCTTTGTGCAAGGAGTTCAGCATGCTCTGCTCTCCTACTCCACAAATGTTCATGTAGATGTCCGCACGCACTATCTACCCATCCACTCATGTACCAGCCACTCAACCATTCATCCATCTCTCATTGTACAACACATACACACGACAATCACACTCACCAGATGCAACCACGGTGAAGCATTTGGAGCTGCTCCAGAGCATTCGCAACCCAAGCAACACAGCACACTCCTTGTTTGGCGTTCTGGATCACACCAAGACTGTCAGCGGAGGTACCCATCTCACTGATGTCTTTCTTACTTTGACGTGGCCATGTCCTGTCCGAAGCGCTTTGCTTGAAACTGAACTTCTTACGCAACCACCCGTTTGTCGTGTGAGTGAGGGAGGGTACACGCGTTGCTCGCCACACAGTGACCGCTCTTGATCCCTTTCCCTGTTTGTTGCCACCGTACCCCGCCCCACATGCCCATGAACAACAGGCCGCTTTCTTCGTGCAGAGCTGCTACAGCCGCCATCAGGTGAGTCAGGAGTGTTGCTCACTTGAACCCAAAATGCATGCATGCATGTATGCATGTGCACTTGCACAGGTGTAGCCTTATTATTTGCCGTGTTTCGGTGATGCGTGTCCTTGCAAACACCTTCATGTGCATGACATTTCCTGACCTTGGCGCACATCGCCCACCCTTGCTTGTTCACAGATGTCATGACAATCCAAACGCGCCAAGAAGCCGTTGAGTTCCTTCTCAACAATCAAGTGCGTGAATGTAGACGAGTTATCTGGAGTTTGCAGCTCCATCCACCTTCTGCACGTCTCCCTGCTGGACCTGTACATGTGTGATGCCTGCGGTGTGGTGTCCAACCACAACAACGGCTTTCAGTATCAGCGAACATCTCTTGGGTCGGAAGGACTGGGCATGACTGGGGATGACTGTTGAGAGGTGGCGTGCGTAATGCATTCTGGCCTTGTGTTCTGGTGCATGTGTCCGAAATGCAGGCTGATTTTGAACAGCTGGGAGACCTGCTCAGCCGATTCGAGGATATGGAGTCGCTCATCACCCACTGCATTCAGGTACAGCGCGTCATTGTGCCCTGACGGCAGGCAACATGTGCCAGTCAGTTCAAGCCCATTTGCGTAAGTGTGTGTGTGTGTGTGTGTGTGTGTGTGTGTGTGTGTGTGTGTGTGTGTGTGTGTGTGTGTAGGCTCCATCGGACGCGTTCCAACTCGATACGAGGCCCTCCTGTCGCCAAGATCCCTGTTCTTATCCTCCACACCCTCATACCGTCGGGCTGGCGACTGCATGACACTGGCGGATGGATGCAGATTCCTCACGCGCAGGATGCAACGACGGCGGAGCGGAGGATCGGCAGCTTGCTTAGACTCAAGCACAACATGGAGCTGGTTCCGCAGCTGTGTCAACACCTAAGCAAGAGCAGCAGCAGCTTGTTGGGCACATTCGCAGCCACGCTGCAGGACGGTAGCTTTGCTGCCATCAACGATGCCATTGTGCGCGTCTTTCACGAAGAAGCCCGTGTGGACCAAGGCGCACTCAACCGGCGTACCCAGCATATCTACGCCATACGCGAAGGCATTCACGGTAACATGGCAAACAAGCGCTGGTCTTTGTGTTTATCAGTGTGTGTGTGTGTGTGTGTGTGTGCGTGTGTTTATCAGTGTATGTGTTTACGTGCTGCGCACGCATTCACCAATGTGCATTCGAGTCGACAAAGCTCTTGCTCAATTACCGCAGAAAGACTCTTGTTGTTGCTGATGTCGGCTCACTACGCCTATTATTTCTTCATGCGCTTGTTGAACTGCTCCAAGGCATGCTGGACGTTGCACGACGGACGTACGGAGAGGCAGTCGCCGACATTACAGGTGTGGTTGAGTTGAACAAGAAACGAGCGGTTTGGGCGTAGTGTTGACGCGTGTTCATGCTTGCATCCCGAGTTGGCGTTGTCGCTGTTGGTTGTCGATGTTGGTGTTCTGTTCTCGTGCTGTTTCATTTCCTGAAGCAAGTGCCCGTATGGCATCGCCTCCTCCTGTCTCACACAATTGGGCGCGCGCATAAACCATGCCACCTTGGCACTCGTGTGTTAGAGTTGTGCCAGCAGCTGTCGGAACGCTACGAGGTTGATTTGGCTCTGGAATACACGGCCCAGCGAGGATTCTTCTTCATCACACAGAGCAAGGCGCAGCTGCCCGCAGCATTCAAGCAGGTCTCAAAGTACGTCATGTGAAACTCAAAAAGGTGCTTAGTTGATACGCCGCAAACAAGTTTGGCTGTGTGTGTGTGTGTGTGTGAGTGTGCGTGTGTCTGTACACCATGTGCCCGTGGTTGCTCTTTGCCTTGGCTTGTGTCTAAGTCCTGCCGACGTGCATTGCATTGGTTGTCCAAGGTCTCGGCAGCGAACGGGTTTGGTGACGCAAGAATTACAACAGATGAACACACGCATCCGGGAGAGCATGTTGGAGATTTTCACCCTGGCAAACACGTTCGTATGCAGTTCAACAGCTTGTACCGCTGCCTGCGAAACGTTTGCTGATTGGATGGAGTGCCATAATATAACTTCACCCAGTGTTGAGTGCTTGAACTGCTCGATTGCTTGCCACATCTTCTCTTCGTCATTCTCACTTGCCACAAACATCGCTTTCATCTGCTGCAGGATTTGTGCAGACCTGTTTGCGGAGATTCGGGCGCACCTTGGCAGTTTGTACAGACTGACAGAAATCGTGAGTTCACATTAGACCACCGCACTGCGCTCTGTTGAAATCTGCTGGTCGTGAGAAAGCAACTCGTGAATCCCTGAGGGTTCATCTGTTGATCATACACGCAATTGCACCAAGGTCTCTGGTTGCTGGTTTGCCACGCTTTCTCATCGCGCGGCATCCTACGGCTGTGGTTTTGCGTGTCATTTGGGCAGATTGCGATGACAGACTTTTTGCAGTCGCTCGCGACATTTGCGTCGTTTGTGCCCACACGATACGTTCGCCCAGAGTTTTCAGACACGCTCGCGGTCAAGGGCGGCTGTCACCCGATTCTCATGTCCCTGAACCGGAGGCAAGAGCTCGTTCCAAACGACACGGTGTGCGAACTTGCAATGCATAACTAACTTTGAGAAATAAGCGTGGTGATGCAATCGAGAAGAAGAACGGTAGCGACTGTGAGTCATGCTGGTTTGCTTTAATGTATCCTCTTCTCACTCACTGATTGAATCTCATGCATGTTTAATGGTCCACTGTTGTAACCATGGGGGCTGACACTAGTTTGCCAGCAAGGAAACAAGCTTCATCGTCATCACGGGGCCCAACATGGTCAGAGTGTTGCGAGTCTGTTGTGACTTGCTGCTGTTAAACACAAATATGATTCTGTGAACTGCACCACATGTGTGTGTGTGTGCGTGTTTACGTTCGCTCGACGTTGACAGAGCTTGCCCACAATTGCATTTGTTGTGTGTCGTGTGCTCTTGGATGAGTAGAGCGGAAAGTCGGTGTACCTTCGCCAAGTGGCTCTGCTGCAGGTGTTGGCACAGCTGGGCAGCTTTGTGCCCGCAGAGTTTGCTTGCTTTCGTGTGTGTGATCAGATCTTCACGCGGATTGGTAATGAGGACAGCTTCGAGACAAACTCCAGCACATTCATGGTGGAGTGCCAAGAACTCAACTTTATCCTGCGGGTACGAGAGCAACGTGTGTGTGATTGTGTGTGTGATTGAGTGCTTGTGTGTGTGATTGTGTGTGTGATTGAGTGCTTGTGTGTGTGATTGTGTGTGTGATTGTGTGTGTGATTGTGTGTGTGTGTGTGTGTGCGATTTGTGCAGAGAAGGAACTGGTGTGCCGCTCATGTGTTCTGGTGTGCAAGTACACGTTTGGCGGGCCATATAAATTATTGTGTTTGCTTGCTTTGCGCACCAAATGCACCAACAGAACGCCACGGAGCAAAGCTTGATCATCATTGATGAACTGGGCAGAGGTATGTCGTACGTTGGAGGTTTCAACTTGCTTGCGGGAGCAGTTGCATATCGTGTCAAGGGAAAGGTTGGACAACTGGGCAATCAAGAATCACAGCCCCACCTCCACATCACGTCAGTGTGTCACTGGACCACCCATTGCACTTTGGTGTTGATTGCTCGTTTGTCCAGGGACAAGCCCGGAAGAAGGGCTTGGATTGTGTTTTGCCGCATGTGAGTACATGATCCAGCTTCAGGCGTTTACGTTCTTTGCCACACACTTCTCGGAGCTGTGCCGTCTTGACATTTATCCCAGCGTTGAGAAGTAAGCTATGTGTGTTTTGTATTATTGTGCTTGTGTTATTGTGTTTGTGTTATTGTGTGTGTGAGTGCTGTGTGTGTGAGTGCTGTGTTAGTACGTTTGTGCTATTGTGTGTGTGTGTGTGTTTTGTGTGTGTGTGTGTGTGCCTGCACATGCGAGACTGTAGATTCTGCCTGTCTCCCTGCCTGTCTCCCTGCCTGTCTCCCTGCCTGTCTCCCTGCCTGTCTCTGTGCCTGCTCCATAGCCGGACTTGGACAAACTCCTTTAACTATCGATTCAAACGCAACCTCCATGCTCGCTTGCGCTCATGATCACCACGCTGACATTGCCTTCTTGTGCTGTTCGCATCAGTCGTCACATGGACGTGCAGTCAGTTGAGCATGGTCGAGGATTCACATACACGCATCAACTGCGTCCAGGGAAGACGCCACAGACAGGCTACGGTACGACGTTTTGGGGGAGTGGGCAGACAAGGATGTGCCTGCTCGCGTGTTTTTGTTCATGCCGTGTACACGCCTGGACCTGTGCCGGTGCCACGGTGCCAGCAACGCCTTGTTCAAGTCGCAACCACAGCGGTCGCGCCTTGCTCTTCTCTTCGCGATTGAGTCTCTCTATGTCCCGAAATACATGCGCTTGCAGGGCTGAAGCTCGCAGAGCAATCGTTTCTCCCTTCTGAAGTCGTGGATACAGCAAAACAGATCAAGCAGCGTCTTACATCCACCGCACAGGCAAGCAAGGCTGAATGTTTGATTGATTGAGCGAGCGAACGAGCGAGCGATAGAGTGGGTATGGGTGTGTGAGTGAGTGAGTGAATGAGTGAGTGAGTGAGTGAGTGAGTGAGTGAGTGAGTGAGTGAGTGAGTGAGTGAGTGAGTGAGTGAGTGAGTGAGTGAGTGAGTGAGTAAGTGAGTGTGTGTGTGTGTGCCGAGGCAGCCACCTCTCATTGAGTGCAGCAGAGGTGTGACGTCTCACGTTCCGTTTGTCACATCCTGCTCCTTGTGTGTTTTGTGCTGCTTTACATTTCTTGGTGCGGTCGCTGCCCTCCACACTCCTGTCCTTTGTCCTCCGAGAGATGATAAACTGATGTATGAGTTGCTGGACTGCACTGTGCTTGTTCTCGCTCAATACACGCAGGCCAACCGCGACCGCGTGTTCAGCGCACATGCTACAGATCGCGCCGTGTTTAAGCTGGCATCGCGCGTGCTTCAAGTTGCCAACGAGGCCAGCCTCGACACGGAGGCCCTGCGCGCGTATCTGCGCGCCCTCAAGGAATCGTTTACTGGCGAGCAGCAAGCAGAAGCAAGCCAGGCAGGACCTGTGCACGAGCAGCAGAGAACAGATGCACAGGAAGGTGCACTAGCAACAGCAGTAGCAGAACCACAACCGCAACCACGACAGTCACCACAACCGCAGCCACAGCAGGAGGCGCCATGTTCACCAAACTAAACGCGTTTTAAAATTGTGATGAGTGTCAAGGCATCACTTTACGACATGATAAATAGTAGCATTCCACCCACGCCTCGCAAGCCACCCAGTCGTCTGGTGGCTGACATTTCCCTTTTGCGTGGCGTGCCTCCTCTGTTTGCCTCGATCCCGTCTGCGTTGTGTTTGTGTTTGTGTTTGCCTCTGCCTCGGTTCTCATTACCCGTCATGGTCGCCATGGCAGTGCCACGTGCGCTTGTATGTGCTTTGGCGCTCCTGCTCTGCACCTCTGGTGAGTTGGTCGAGAAAGAACACGCAGACTTACTTGTTACTTGCTTTGGATTCGGACAAGGAAGGACACATGTGTGTGGGCGGGGTTGATGGCTGATGGTGAACCGGCAAGGTGCCTTTTTCTCCCAGTCCCTTGCAATCACGCACTTATTCATACACACACACACTCTCTCTCACACACACACACACACACACACTCACTATCTCTCACTCTCACTCACTCTCACTCACTCTCACTCTCTCATACACTCTCACACTCACACACACACAACACACACAACTCACTCACTCACTCACTCACTCACTCACGCACACAATGTCACTCACACACACTCACTCACACTCACTCTCGCTCACTCACACGCCTGCGCAACCTGTGTGCTGCTTGTTGCCTGCCTGTTTGGAAGCTGCAACCGCATTGGATGTGCAAGGTGTGTTGATTCTCTCTGCTTTTGACCACACACCAGCAGCGTCATGCCGCGTGTCCGTGTGTGCTTGTGTTGCGTGTGGCAGTGCGGTGAATCTCACTCACGCCGATCTTCACCTTGATATCCTGCTGCTGCTGTACAGTTGGCTGGGACCGGTCGACCTTGACCGTGAACTTCAAGACTCTCCCATCTGTGCTGGAATCCTTGTCCAACGTGACGGTCTTTGACGGTTCCATTAGCATTCTCAATACGGTGTGCAACACATACTCATACGCTCAGCTCACCTCGTTCTTCGGAAACATCCGAGAAATCCGCGGCTTCCTCTCCGTGAGTTGTGTTTGTGTGTGTGTGTGTGTGTGTGTGTGTGTGTGTGTGTGTGTGTGTGTGTGTGTGTGTGTGTGTGTGTGTGTGTGTGTGTGTGCGTGTGCCTGTGTGCGCCTGTGTGTGCATGCGAGTTTCTGTGCGTCCGTGTGTGCCTGTGTTTGGTGAATGGTCCAAGATACAACTCGTGACTGACGTCTGGAATGCCACATCTTCAGGTGGCACTCTCCGATGCTCCATCCTGGGATTGCGTGTCCGACCTGGGCTTCTTCGCCAACTTGCGAGTGATTCGTGGATTGACGGCTTACACAGATACGGCAACGGATGTTGCGTTGTACATCAACCCAGCGGACATGGCTCCAAGCCACCTGGGCTTGTCCCGCCTTCAGATGGTGCGTTCCTTCAGTTCAGGAAAGCAGCACAAGTTCACGTCCACGGCTGTGCTTGTGAATCTGCCAAGGCTGCTGACTGACACCTGCTCGCACCTACGCGTATGCCATGTCCCGCACGCTCACATACGTTTTTACACACACACACACACACACACACACACACACACACACACACACACACACACACACACACACACACACACACACACACACACACACACACACACACACACACACTGCCTTGCTTGCATACACGCAGGTGGGCAAGTACGGGATCAATATTCAAGGCCTCCGTCCAAACTCTGCCATTATGTGCGGCAAGGGCCGGGTTGACGACGCAGGGTTTGAAGGGGTGAATCTCACCGCCCTCCTCCCTGGTACAGCCTCGCGCGTGGGCACATCACCGGTGAAATTTGAAGTGACAAACGGCGATGACGTGGCCACTGTCGAGTACAATCAGGACCCTCCAGCCAACGGTGACTTTTGCCCATCCCCATTCTGCCACGCCAGTTGCAACGGGGTGTGCTGGGGCCCCGATGCGGGTGACTGCCAGGTCGTGTGCAGCCAAGACTGCGGCACCGCTGGCTGCTTCGACACGTCGCCCGGCACCTGCTGTCCTGCGGAGTGCTTTGGCGGCTGCACAGATGACAATGGTGTCACCCTGTGCCATGCTTGTGCGGATGGGTATCTCATCACAAGCAACGGCACTTGCGTGCTGGACATGGGCAACTCGTCCTGTCCCACAGGCTCCTACCCTGCCGGCCTCTTCATCGAGCAGGTGGAGGGCTGTGACGACGACCGCGCAATCACCCGCACCGTCAGTCACTTTTACTGCAACGACAACTGCGAGGCCAACCAGCACGACCCGCTTGCCCTTGAGGATGGCGTGTGCGTCGACGTGTGCGCCAGCGGGCGTGAACCAAACGCAACAACAAATGAGTGCATTCCCCTCGCAGAGGGTGAAATCGCCTACAAACGTAAGCGTGGAGCGAGTGTGTGGTTATGTGCGTGGAAACCTGTGGCTCTGTGTGTGTGTGTGTGTGTGTGTGTGCGTGTGTGTGTGTGTGCGTGTGTGTGTGTGTGTGTGCTTGTGTGTGTGTGTGCATGTGCATGACTGTTGTTGTCAGCAAACCTCATCTCACCTCCTTTCTCGTGTTCTGCCTTGATTGGCGTCCCCACTCCCAACTCTGTCTCCCTTCCATCAGCTTGCCGCTCTGTTTTCAATGTTGTTGATCGCTGTACACTTCGCTACCTTGAGGATGAAGACTGCGACACCCTCCTCGGCAGGTGAGAGCCAAAGCCATTCGTGTGCTGAGCATAATTGTGTCAATGTATACATAACTGTGTCGAAAATACGTGCGTGCGCGTTTGCCCATTTACCCCTCGTCGATTCAACTCATTCCGCGTTTTGCGCTGTTCATCGACCGTGTTGTGACCGTCAGCATCATCGCTGTGAAGGATTCCTCGCCAAACGCCCTCGCATACGCAACAGAGGCAGAGCTGCAGGTGCTGTCCAGAATCAGGTGTGTGCCATCCACCAACACTCCAACACTGTGCTTAATCTGTTATATGGCGTTGTGATGCCACCGATGTGACACAACTCCACACTGCTCAGCCTTACCCACTGCTTGTTCCTGTGTGTTTTCTCAATTGCATCCCTTTTCTCGCTCCTTTTTTCATCCCCTGCCTTACCCCTTTCTCGTTGGCATACTGTCTAGACGTATCTTGGGGTCGGTGCAGCTGACATTTGCGCCCTTCACGTCGCTCAACGTGCTGCGATCTGTCGAGTACATTGAGGCCCGAGTACGTACCACTTTGCCATGTCACGTGCGACTGTTGCTCATGACCTTCGCCATCGACAACGTCGGTGGTGGACCCTGCCTAGCATGGCATGGCACGGCACCTTGTTGCAGCCGCTTTCATCACACACACACACACACATATCCACGCACAATTGCACACAATCACGCACAATCATTGTTGTGCAACAACGTTCGCAGGATGGTGCACGCCCAAGTGGTGTTGACTTTGGACTGGTTTTGGTTCTGAGTCCACTGCTTCGTACTGCTCCTCTCGCGTCGCTGCGCTACGTTCCTTCTGTCTCGGTATGATGTGCTTTGCGCGGGTGCGCGCGCGTGTGTGTCTGTCTGTCTGTGTGTGTGTGTGTATCTGTCTGTCTCTCTGTCTGTCTGTGCGTCGCAATCATGTGTTGAAGACCCCAAGCGCAGCAATGCGGACGACCGTGCATTGCGTATCAACAAACTACCAAGCTCCCACGTGGCCATTGCCACACCTCACACCTCACCTGGCTCCATTCACCGCCTTGCCGACAGTTTTCTGGCAACCCCAACCTGTGCTTCTACTACTCCACCATCGACTGGGAGGAGCTTGGGGTGACCTCTGTGTCACCCGACCCCGTGCCGGCCGCCACGTTTGGCTTCACCTTCAACCCGCTCTCGTACACAGACGACTTCGTGACCACTCACGACTCGTTTCCAAAGGAGCACCCGGCATGCGGTGGGTACGATTGTGCGTGCGTGTCTGTGTGTCTGTGTGTGTGTGTGTCTGTGTGTGTGTGTGTGTCTGTGTGTGTCTGTGTCTGTGTGTGCAAAATACTAACGTTGTGGGCGTATGGCATACTGCCGTGCGGTATGCTTGTCTGCGCTGTACTATTTCGTGCAAGCAACAAAAGCCTCATTCACAGCACACATTCATGTGCATATCACATCCTGCGCATGCCGTGTGCCCTCAAAACAGACTCCACCTGCCACCCCCTGTGCCGGCCAGACCGGTGCTGGGGCCCCGACATTGACGACTGCCAGCGCTGCCCAAACAACACGCTGCTGCACGAGGGGGCGTGCCTCGCAGTCGGTGAAACCTGCCCAGATGGGTTCTACTCCAACACGTGGTCGTGCCGCCCCTGCCATTCAGACTGCGCAGCGTGCACGGGCCCAACTGCAAGCGAGTGCGCGGCGTGTGAGGGCGCGTTGTATCTCAAGGACTCGCGGTGTGTCCCCGGCTGCGGTGACAACTTCTTCGCCAACGCCACAACAAACGCTTGCGAAAGCTGCCACACACAGGTATCGTTGCTCGTTCGCGTGTGAGTTTCATGTGATAATTCGCGTGACTGTGTATGTCTGCACACACGGTTGCGTGTGCGTTTGCGTGCGTGTGGGCATGGCTGGCACTGTGAGAATCGTGTTATTTCTCCGCCGGTGGTGCTTCTTGTTTTGGTGCCACATTGACCACCATCTGCACAGTGTGTCTCATCCACGTCAACCCTTTTCCCCTGCCCCACATTCTCCGTCTTTGATCGTTGCCAGTGCATGCAATGCTTTGGCCCGGCGAGTGACGAGTGCGCCGAGTGCGTGGCTGGGTTTTCGCTTCGCCCTTGGAACAACACGTGCACCCCTGTGGGCACGTGCCCGACCGGCTACTTCAGTGACACTGCGACGAAGACATGCACTGCGTGCCCCTCCAACTGCATTGCGTGCACCGCCAACACTGCAAACGCCGTTCCGCCCATCCTCTGCCTGTACGTCAAAGCAGCGTGCAGTCATGCATTTTGTTTGGTTGCTTGGTTGGCTGGTTGGCTGGTTGGCTGGTTGGCTGGTTGACTCGTTGTTTGTTTGGCTGTATGAGTGCACACGTTATTGCGTGTGGTGAGGTCATGTGGTGGTCGTGTGTTTGTGTTTGCTACATCTTGAGTGCTACTTGCTGCCACGACCACTGCACACACATACACAACGTTTCTCCTCCCGGCTAACACTCCCCTCCCCCCACACACAATCACACACACACACACACACACACACACACACACACTCCATCACACGCACACGTATCATAGGCAAGCGGACGACGGGTACTATGTGACTGGCGGGCAGGTGTTTGCTGTGGACACGTGCATGCCTGGGATGGAGTACGAGCAAATGGCGCCCACACCCACGAGCAACCGCGCGTGTGCCCCCATCACCCAGTGCGTCGTTGGCCGCGAGTACATCTACGAGAACGCAACTAGCGTGTCGGATCAGGTGTGCGCAAATTGCACGGAATGCGATCCTGTGACGCAGGTGCGGCGTCAGGGCGCGGGCTCGTGCGATGGTGTCGTTGACTCCGTGTGCGACTTTATCAACGTGTGTCTGCTGGACGGGTGCATGAACGGTGGCAACTGCACCAGCTACAACGGCACCACGCGCGTGTGCAGCTGCACATCCGGTTTCTGTGGCGACAGCTGCCAGTTTGTGATGGGCAGCGATGGCGTGTGCGGCGCCACAACAGCGCAGTCGTCGACCGAGCAGCTGTTTACGGCGGTGGGCGGGGCTGCCGGCGGTCTAGTCCTCCTCGTTGTCCTTGTTGTCGTCACCCTTCGCGTGCGTGAGCGCATCTACGGCGAGATCTACAAGCCCGACGACAAGTTCAGGGCGCAGCACGCGCCGACGGATGCGTGGGAGATTGAGAGGGACCTGCTCACGGTTGGCCGGGTGATTGGTGAGGGCCAGTTTGGCAAGGTGAGCCGTGGCCTGCTGGTCAAGTCACGCGACCCGTACGACGAGACGCCAGCGCAGGATGTGGCGGTGAAGCAGCTCAAGGGCAACGCCAACGGCACGCAGGAGGAGGACGAGTTCTTCAAAGAGATGGACCTCATGAAGTCGCTTGGCCGCCACAGGCACGTGCTGAGCCTCGTCGGCGTGTGCACGCTTGATGACCCGATCCTGCTGCTGACGGAGTTTTCGGAGCACGGCGACCTGCGTTCATATCTGCGCTCGCACCGCCCATCCCTGACGCAGCCGGAGTCCATCTTTGAGGAGGACAAAATTGACTTTGGCGCCCAAATTGCCAGCGGCATGCTATTTCTCGCCGACAACAAGGTGCTGTGTATGTGTCTGTGTGTGTCTGTGTGTGTCTGTGTGTGTGTGTGCGTCTTGTGTCTGTGTGTGTGTCCGTGTGTGTGTGTCTGTGTGTGTGTGTATGCGTGCGTATCAGTACGCACTTGTGTGTGTGTGTGTGTGTTGATTTTCTTCACGCTCTTCTCACTCTTGATGCCTTACGCTTGTCCGCGCTGCCACGAACATACCCTTTCCCCTCATACCACATCAGATTGTACATCGTGACTTGGCTGCGCGCAACATCCTCGTCTCGTCCGGCACCGTCCTCAAAGTCTCCGATTTCGGCCTCGCACGAGAGTCAGTTTGTGTGTGTGTGTGTGTCTGTGTGTGTCTGTGTCTGTGTGTGTCTGTGTCTGTGAGTCTGTGTGTGCGTCTGTGCGTCTGTGTGTACGTGTGTCTGTATCTGCGTGTGTGCGAGCGGTTCCACCTTTGCTCGCTGCTCACCTCCAATTCAAATGCCCATCGTGGCTGGTGCACAGCGTTGCTGGGGAGGACATGTACGAGAAAAAGTCTGCTGGCAAGATTGCCTTCAAGTGGATGGCGCCAGAGTGCATCAACGACCGGTGAGCGTTCACAAGCGGTTTTGTGTGTTGGGTGCGTTGTTTTGCATTGCTTCTACACGGGGGTGTGCAGTGCTTGTGCACGTGCATGTGCGTCTGTGGTCCTCTGTGTTCCGTGTATGTTCATGTGCTCACTGACCCGCGTCTCATTTCGCTGTGTCTCATTTCGCAACTTCCACTCCGACCTTCATCAACACCCCCCTCCCAAAACAAAACACACACACACACACATGTATCACTGTTCAGCATCTTCACGACCATGTCTGACGTGTGGTCATTCGGCATCACGCTGTGGGAGATTGCGACGCTCGCCCGCCCGGTGAGACAGCCTGCTGGTACATGGCGGCGTGGGTGCAGAGATGAGCGTGCTGTCACGCAACCAGGGGAAGCGAGAGGGGGTTGGAGAAGAGAAGACGAGAAAGAAGGCTAGCTGTCAGGCACATGCAATCGCCTTTCGAGCGTTTCCATGGCCAACGTTTTGGTTTTGTCTCGTCTCTCACACAGCCATCCATCCATCCATCCGTCCGTCCATCCGTCCATCCATCCATCCATCCGTCCATCCGTCCATCCGTCCATCCAACCATCACCACGCGCATGGCCACTGTGCAGCCGTATCCCGAGATGAACAACTATGAGGTGGTGCAGGCGCTCAAGACGGGCTATCGGATGCCGCCGCCGGACGAGTGCTCCGATGATCTCTACGACATCATGCGCCGCTGCTGGGTCGACAGTCCTGAGGTGCGTTGTGGTCGACAGCGGGGCTGCTTGTGTTGTGGTGTTTGCTTTTCGTTTCTGCGCGGTGATGTGACGGTCGCTCTCGTGGCATGGTTCATTCTCTTCCTTTCCCACTGTCTCCTCCCCCACTCGCCTATTGTCTCTCTTCCTGCCCCTTGGCTATCCCTCCATCTCCCAAAGACACACACACTCTCACTCACTCACTCACTGACTCACTCACTCACTGACTCACTCACTCACTGACACACACTCACTGACACACTCACTCACACTCTCACTCACTGACTGACTCACTCACTCACTCACTCACTGACTCACTCACTCACTCACTCACTCACTCACTCACTCACTCACTCACTCACTCACTCACTCACTCACACACTACATTTCATTACATCGCGTCACCACCACAGCGGCGACCCTTGTTCAAGGATCTGCTTGAGGAGCTGGCCGGTCTCGCTGGCAAGTCGACTGCAGCCTATCTTGACGACGCCGCAGGCGAGAAGCCAACCAAGCTGGCAGACGGCGTCATTGAGCGGCTCAAGGAGGATCCGGACCGCCCGTATCTCATCCCAACGCTGCAGCGCGACCAGCTGCCCGAGCTGAGCAAGCACCAGGTTGATCTCGCCACCCTCGCAGAGGAGGACGAAGACGACGGTGAGATGATTGTTCGCGCGCGTGTGTGTGTGTGTCTGCGTGTGTGTGTATGTGTGTCCGTGTGCGCCTGTCTGTCTGTCTTTCCGTGTGTCTGTGTGTGTGTGTGTGTGTGCGGCTGTATTTCGTCACGGCTGTGCTCTTTCATGTCTGTGTTGTTTTCGTGTGCACGTGCGTGCTTATTCCCCACCCCATCTGCGGTGTGTTCGCTCCCATCTCTGGTGGCCACTCACTCTGTGACCAATTCAAACGGCCGTCATCATTGCGCACCAGATGGCCTGGGCTACGTGGAAGGGAAGGTTGCCACCAACTTTGAGGAGCCCGAGGAGCAAGAAGTCAAGGAGACGCGCTTGCGCTGATTTGCGTTTGAGAGATGGCGGTGGTGTCTGTTGTTGATGCGGTGTGTGCCCGCTTTCTTTTCGCCAGTTGGCACACGAGCAGTTCTTAGTTACCCGCTTGTTCTTTTGCCCTTGTTTCCTCATGCCTGTTGATTCCTCCCAATTGGATGTGTGTGTGTGTGTGCGTGCGTGTGTGTGTGCGTGCGTGTGTATGTGTGTTGTGTTGTGTTGTGTTGTGTGTTGCGTGTTGCGTGTTGCTTGTGTGTGTGTGTGTGTACATGTGTGTGTGTGTGTGTTGCGAGACAGTTGCTGGTCTCATGTTCTCATGAGTTGGGACGAGTTGCCACGTTGCCCATAAATTTTCTACAAGCACCAACCCGCTCGCTGCGCACGTCCTTCCTCTTCCTGGTGTCACCCCCGTGTTGAGGACTGTGATTCAGAGAGTCAGCCTTCAACAGCAAGAGTGGTTGATACACACACACACACACACAACACACACACACACACACACACACACACAACACAGACAGCAGCGACAGCAGTCATGGGGAAGAAGAAACGCTCTGCGGACGCCCGCTTCCCATGTGAGTGATTCATGTGTGTGTGTGTGTGTGTGTGTGTGTGTGTGTTTGTTGCAAGGACTAGGGCGCAGCCGGCTTGTTTGCCGTGCACTCACGTTTGTTTGCCATGTCACCGTGCGTGCGGCTGGCAGTGTGGTGGTGCGAGACGGATCAGCGGATCATTCGTGGCGTGATTTCCGCATTGGAGGAAGCCGACGCCGACGCCTGCGTACGTGGCACCAACTGCAGCGTGTAGTCTGCACGCACCATCGGCCCAGCCTCGTGCTCACGCCTATGCCTATTGCTGCCATCACATGGCACACTGGCCACACAGTACAGCGCACAATGGATCCAACTCACCCAACAACTCACATCACACCCACACCCAACAACTCACATCACACGCCATCCGCCGCACAAAACGCACACGGCCGACAGTATGCACGAGACAACGACTGGGTGGATTGGGACGCCATTGCCCCAGAGGGCATGTCGGGGCAAGAGGCCAAGGAGCGTTGGGAGCACCTCGCAAAAGAGGTGTGCACGTTGTGTTGTGTTGTGTTTTATGTGTGTGTGTGTGTTTTATGTGTGGGTGTGTGTGGGTGTGGGTGTGGGTGGGTGTGGGTGTGGGTGTGGGTGTTAAGACGGGTACAACTGTTGTTGAACTCGACCTGTATCACACGTGCACACACATGCACACACGTGCATACGCGCACACGCACACACGCACACACACACACACACACACAGTCACGCGTATCTGCATGACCCCGACTCACATAACAACGTGTGCTGGCTTGCGTGTGCCACACCAACAGGTCCCCAAACGCAGAACCAACTTGGAGATTGCGCGGATCGTGCAGAAGAACTTCAACGGAGCCAAAGCGACGGTATGGCATGTCGTCCCAGCGAGCACCTGATGGCCTGCAAGCTGCGACACTTGATGGCTTGCCTGCTGACATGTGCACGCGCGCTTGAATTCGACCTTACACTCCTGTGATGTGCTTTTTGAATCATAGGGGAACGTCCTGACGCCAACACAGTACACAAAGGTTGCCAACATGCGCAGACATCCCCAGCGCTTAAAGGCGCAAGACGTACGTGTCTATGCATGTGTCTGGCTGTTTGTGTATGTGACTGTGTGTTGTGTCTGTTTGACTGTCTGGCGTGCTGCCTGTGTATCTGTCTGGCGGGCTGGCTGCGTGTGTACTTGCAGGAGTTGGTGAATGGGAGTGACATGGCTGTTCACGTTTTGATTCACGTGAAGACCAACATGGGGATGTGCTTACTTCGTGCTGCCTCGCCTGTGCTGCACGATGATAGCTCTACCCAGACTTCCCGAAGCGGCCCATGTCTGCATTCTTCCTCTGGGCAGAGGTGCGGTGTTCCTGCGCGTGCTCTGTCTGATCTGTTGCATGCCACTCCTTCGCCGGCCACGTGCACCAACGGACCGATGCGCGCACAAGAAGAACCTGCTTTGCTTGTTGCCGCAAACACACACACACACACGAGCACGCTCTGACATCCATGCATGTGTGTGTTTACTGTGTGTGTGTGTGTGTGTGTGTTTACGTGTGTGTGTGTGTGTGTGTGTGTGTCTGCGTGTCTGCGTGTGTTTGTGTGTGTGTCAGGACCAACGAGAGTCAATACGCGTGGAAATGCCGGATGCACAAGCGCGTGTCATCCAACGCGTCCTCGGCGAGCGATGGCGTGACATCCCAGAGAACGTCAAGGTGCCCTGCTCACTCTACGCGTGCACATGTGTGTGTGTGTGCGCGTGTGTATGTGTGTGTGTGTGTGGGTGTGGGTGTGGGTGTGGGTGTGGGTGTGGGTGTGGGTGTGGGTGTGGGTGTGGGTGTGGGTGTGGGTGTGGGTGGGTGTGGGTGTGTGGGTGTGTGTTCATGTGCTGACATGTCTGATTTATGTTGGATTACGCACGTGCGTATGATGACTTTCAACGACCACTTGCTTGACTGTTGCGTTGTGGTCAGGACGTGTACAAGCAGCGCGCTGCGGAGGCCATGGAGCGTTACTACGCGGAAATGGACAAGTTTTACGTAAGGCAACGTGGACCTGTGGGCACACCTCCTTGAATGCAAATAACAGCCATGCATGCACGCGCATGCACGCACACGCGCTCACATGTATCTTCTTGGTGCTCATGAAATTTACAGCACGTGCATCCGGAAGCGAAAGTTGACAAGAAGCTTGCACGACTTCCCGTATGTCATGGCAGTTTTGTTCTTGCTCTTGTTCTTGCTCTTGTTCTTGTTCTTGTTGTTATGTCCGCCACTTCGAGTCGCGCATGCTTCATCTGCTAACAAGGTCATCACACCCTCGCTGCTTTGCTCATGGAACAGGCCAAGAAGCCGAAACTGACCCTCGACGCTCCAAAACCGCCCCCACGATCCGGCTACCTGCTCTTCTTGCAGGAAGTTCGGTCCACCATGCCAGATGTCCCATTCAGTACGTCATACATCGAGAGCATTCATGTCTTCTGTGCCTGTGCCTGCATACGCGTGCACGCGTGTGTGTGTGTGTGTGTGTCTGTGTGTGTGTCTGTGTTTGTCTGTGTGTGTGTCTGTGTGTCGGTGTGTCTCTGTGTCTCTGTGTCTGTGTTAGCTGCGTGCGTGCTCTTTCGTTAGCTCGTTGCTCACCACATCTTGAAATGACACCACCATCCTCACTTCCACACAACTACCGCCACCACTATCAACGCCCTTTCCCGTTGCAGCGGATGCGGTGCGTCACATTGCGGCGCAGTGGCAGGCGCTCTCCGAGGAGGTCAAGGCGTCATATGCACGCCGCCTCGACCAGATGTGGTCAAAGGTGCGAATTGCATCTATTTGTGTGTTGGTTTCATTTGTTTGTGTGTGGGGGGGGGGTGTTGGAGGGGGGGGGGTTCAAGTGCGTGACGTCGCTTGGCGTTGTGTAATGCATCTGCCCAGCTCACTGGTCATGTCTCTGGGCGCTGTGTGCCTGACTCTCTCTGTGTTTTGGAAACCACGCTCTCCGCTTTGCGCCATGGAACAACTCTTCCTGGCACCACCTGCCCCTTGACCACCGCCACCACCAACCCTGTGTTGCCGGATGCAGCACGATGAGGAGTGGGAGGCGTTTGTGCAGTCGATGCCCGAGCACCAGCGGGCCGAGTTGGAACGAATGCGGCCCTCAAGTGCACATCCCCGACACAAACAGTCCCCGTCATCGACCGCGGTTCGTATGCCGTGCGGTCGTGGTGTCAGTGCATGGCTGCAACATTCTCACACAGGAAACACGTACACAAGCCTTGGCCGCGCACCTCATGTGTTCCACCCACTTATTCACTCACTCACTCACTCACTCACTCACTCACTCACTCACTCACTCACTCACTCACTCACTCACTCACTCATGCCCTGTTGACAGGCTACCAGCAGTGCTGCGGCGGCAGCAGCCGTGTCCACAGCTCAACCCGACGGCAGTGGTCAATACAGTTCACCCTCCAGACACACGGAAGGATGGAGGGTGCGCTTGTCATTCCTTGCTCTCGCTGGTGTTGTTGCCGTTCGTGGTGTCGGTGGTCGCAGCAGTGGTGTCGGTGGTTTGGGTTTGGTTGTGACACCCCCCCCCCTCTTACCCTTGCACGCTCTCCCCTGGTCCACCTGTATTTTTTTTTATGTGATGCATGACATCTCATCACGTGGCGTTTTGGTCCCATGCACCTTCTCTGTATGACTCCATATGCCATCGGCGCACTCATTCCCTGAGTTGACCCGAACTCTCCTCCCTTTTCCCGCATTTCAGCCACCGTTTCGCTCACACGATGGCGGCGATGTCAATGCACGTGGACAGGACTGGATTGGAGCAGAGCCGTTCGCTGCAGTGCCGTCTTCATCATCAGCAGCAGCGGTGGTGCACCCACAACAGCAACAACAACATGAGATGCAACAGCAGCAGCACTACCACCACCCGCAACCGCACTTTCAACCACACCCAGACATGGCACACGACCCACATGCCCCTCTTCCACAGACCTTTAACAATGCACCTCCGCCTCCGCCACCGCCGCCAGCATCATTGCCTCCGCACCCACAGCTACCTGACGCACATTACCATCCACACCCGCCTCCTCCCCATGCTGTTCAACAGCAGCACCTGCCCTCACATTACCCGCTCTCGCAACACCAACAACAACAACAACAACAACAACAACAACAACAACAGCCGCAGCAGCAGCAGACCCACTATCCTCACCAGCACATGCAACACGTGCATGTTGGTCAGCAGCCGTATTATCCCATGCAAAGCCCACACGTGCCGCCACCACCCCAGCCGCCGCAACACCACATGGCGCATCAACATCCGCATACAACCCCGCATTCACACGCAACACATCAACCACACGAGTACCCACAACAACCACACCACCACGACAGCCACAACCAACAGCAACAACGACAACAACAAGAGCAGCAGTACGGGTCGCATGCTGGTGGCTTTGCTCACGTTACCCAACACGAAGGCGTGGCGGTGAGTGCTGCCCAAGCACCACAGCCGCAGCTGCAGCAGCGCCACGGTGACAGTGTCCCGTCCAGCAGCCAGCCCTCTCAGCAACAGCAGCTACATCAGGAGCAACCATCCCAGCCACAGCGAAGCTCGCAGGCATCACAAGTACCATCAGAGCCAGGACAACTACCACAACAACAGCAACAGCTGCAGCAGCAGCAGCAGCAGCAGCAGCAACCACAACCACAACAGCAACCACAACCACAATCACAACAGCAGCAGGGACGAGAAAACGCAAGCAAAGGTGATGAAGGGTCACGTGCTTCCGCCACTCGCTTGCCGTCAAGTGAGACCGCACTACAAGCAAGTCACCAAGAACAACAGCAGCAGCAGAGACAGCAACAACACGAAGAGGAAGAGGCGCATACACCAGAAATAGACGTCCGATCAGCAACAACGCAGCCATCAGTCGTCGTGCACCATCATCACCACCACGGACCACAGCAACAACAGCCCCAACAACAGCGGCAACAGCAGCAACAACAACAGCAACAACAACAGCAGCAACAACAGCACCACCACCAACGACAACAACCACAAGTTCCTCCTCCGCCTCCGCCTCCGCCTCCTCCCCCTCCACAGCAGCAGCAACAGCAGCAACAGCAGCAGCAGCGGCCGTCTGTATCAGATGCGCCCTCGCTCTTACCGCCACCGCCACCAAGTTTACATCACCACCAGCACTTTCCACCCGCGTCGCTCACGTTTCACGACCACAGACAAGCAGCGCACCCAGCATCCCTGCCACCGCCAACACCGCCACTTGCGCCCACGGAGCACTCAGCACTGCCACACTCACACGCACATACACACTCGCATGTGCACGGACATGGCGCTGTCGACGCGTACACGGCGCCAACGCACCACACAACACTGGCCAGTCACATGCCAGTGGCATCTGAGAGCATACCGTCACATCACCACGCCAGCGTGGCACAACAACACGTGCCCCCGCACGACCATGACGCGAGCCAGCTGTATGAGCAACAGCAGGAACAGCAGCCGGGAGAGCACGATCGAGAACAACTGCACAGGCCTGCTGAGACTGCGAGCAATGCAGAGCACCAGCAACACCAGCAAGACATGCAGCCACCAAGCAGCACGCATCAAGTTCTGAGCGTGTCCGTGCCACCGCCACCGCCACAACATCTGCATGCGAGTGCGACTTCTTCGAGCGCAGTGGCATCATCGTCGTCATCGCTTCCTGTGACGCACCATCACCATCACCATCACCATCACCTGGACGAGCAGCCCCAGCAGGCGGACACACGCGACCGCGACTGGCAATACAAGGTCTTGTACACATGTGTGTATGCGTGTGTATGTGTGTGTACTTGCGTGTAGAACGTAGTGAATGTGTGTGTGTAGAAAGATGTATGTACGTATGCGTATGTATGCATGCCTGCATGTGATCGTACAACACTCGACATGTCTATCTGCTGAGTGACTCCTGCATGTGATTCCCTGTTCACGACAGGACGGAACCCGCTTTGTGAGTTTCTCGATCCACGACGCCACAACCCTTTCAGCTGCGCACAGGTGTGTCTTTCTGTCTGCCTATCTGTGTGTGCGCGCGTGCGTCTGCGTGTGTGTGTGTTTGTGTGTGTTTGTGTGTGTGTGTGTGTGTGTGTGTGTGTGTGTGTGTGTGTGTGTGTGTGTGTGTGTGTGTGTGTGTGTGTGTGTGCAACCGCCTGGAATGCTACGCCATGATGTTCGTACTTGAGCAGCTGATTGGTATGTCGCCCGACACTCTGCGTATGTGTACATGTGAAGGGCGTGGAAGAAAGCGGGCTCCCCTGATGATCCAATTGAACTTTCGCTTCTCAACAGCGATTGTGTTGTCATCAACTTTGAATCCATGACTTGCCATCCGCCAGGTCAGTCAAACATGAACATTGTGCGTGTGTGTGTGTGTGTGTGTGTGTGTGTGTGTCTGTCTTGTCTGTCTGTCTGTGTGTGTGTGTCTGGGTCTGTGCCTATGTGTCTCTCTGTTTGTGTGTGTAGCTGTACGGCGTTGCCATCTACACTTGCGCGTGCTCATGCATGTACCGCCGTTTTTTATTCTGCTTTACTCGTGCTCTTGCAGCGGCAACTGAACCGATGAAGATGCGATCAAAGCCAATCAAGTCATAACAACATGCCGTCAGCACCGACTTGCCTCGTAGCAACATACCCGGGCCTTTGCCTTGTTCACGCACACACGCACAAGCGCCTTGCCCCCCTCTTCTCCTTGTTCTTTTCCCCCTCTTTTTCTCCCCGTTTGCTGCTGCTGCAACCAGCCAAAACCATGTACATACCATACCCATCACTGCATACCGGGAGGGACGCATAAACAAACAACAGAACAAAAGAGGCATTGCTACTGGATGCGGGTGCAACTTGAGTGTGGCGAGGGTTGCTCGTTTATGCGACAGAGTAAGAAAAAAAAAGGGGTTGTGTGACATGAAAAACAATTTCATTCACGATATGTATCAACAACAAACTCACTCACACTCACACACACACACACACACATCTGCATATTTGTACATATGTCCGTGCTTGCTTGAAGCAGGCGGTCGCGCAACAACATGGCGGAAGGATGGTGCCTGTAGTCGTCGTCGTCATTAGCGTCGCCTGGTTGTGCGTCTTCGTGTCTGTTGTTGCCTTGCACCACCAGTGCTGACGGCTGCTGCTGTTGTTGTTCTGCTGCTTCGACTACTTCTGCTGCCTCTGCTGCTCCGTGCGCGTGTGTTGCCGTCGTCGTCGTCGTCGTTGAGCAGAGCTTCATTGCGTGCGCGCATCACCTCCTGCTCCTGCTCCTCTTGCTGGAATTCGCGGCTGAGGGCATCAAACTCATCATTGCTCGTTTCTGCACAGTGTGAGTGTGTGAGTGTGTGTGTGTGTGTGTGTGAGTGTGTGAGTGTGTGTGTGTGTGTGTGTGTGTGTGTGTGTGTGTGTGTGTGTGTATGCGTGTGGATGAGGACAACACGTGTGCACCTGGAAGGGTGCTGCACATGATGACAGGGGCTCCAGAAACAACAAAGCAACAACAGAGAACAGCAGCGCATCTCACTCACCCATGCGCTTTGCAAACACAATCTGGGTTGCAGCGGCCTGCGTCTCCTCCGTGATTCCACCCGCCTGCAATCGCAACAAAACCGAACACAAATACCACATGTGAATTGGGGGTGAGCAAACAGATGGACAGTGAATGCGGGAAAAGGGCTTACAACACGACACCAACCGCCAACAACACCAACCACCTCACCTTGCGAAAGGGCTTGACATTGGGCACTTCGTTTCCATCTGCATCGACGATGGTGTCGATTGGGGCGCTAACAGCAACAATGACAGCAACAACACGCAACGTGGAAGAGTAGCGTGTGGGGGGGGGGCATGCAGACAGCGATACATGAGACAGGATGAACCACAATGACACAAAAAGCAACAGCACACAGCAGCATGCGGCCTGTGTGAGCGACCGCCAATCCAACACAACCCGACATGTGTGTGTGTGTGTGTGTGTGTGTGTGTGTGACTCACCAGGTGTGCTGCGGTTGTGTCAAGGGAACAAGGATGCGTGGCTGCGGGAGGTACTTCAGCTCGCTCTCATCACTGTTCAGAGAAAGCGGGGAGTGCCAAGGGATGAGTACAACTCTCAGATATACACGAGGTTCACACACAATCACACGCACACACGCACACACATGCACACATACGCACACACGCACACATGCACATGCACACGCATACACGCACACACAATCACACACACAATCACACGCACAATCACACACGCACACACATGCACACATACGCACACACACATAACACACACATAACACACACACATAACACACAATCACACACAATACAAACACGTCTCTGCGGGCCTGCAGTACGTACGCGTTGGGGTCGTCCTGGCTGAGGTTGTTTTGCATAATCTCGGCATCCATGGCCTTGTTCAGGCGACCAGGCAGCGTCCGAACACGCCGGGATTGCGCAGCCGTCGTTGTTGTCGTGGTTGCTGCTGATGTTGCTGTTGTTGATGATGTTGGATCGTCCGGGCTGAAGTCCTGTTGACATAAAGATGAATGCAGCAGCACAAGCAATGGCACAAAAGGCCCAGTTTGAGTTCAAATGACAAACACAAACAACAAGCACACAGAGGGTGCATGCAGGAAGCAAGTGAGCACCTGCGAAGCCGAGTTGCTCGATGTGAAGGAGACGAGTGGTACCGGGTGTTCCGTTGGGCGAACAGCGTTGGATGCGGCGTCAGCGCTTGGGGGAGCAATCCACCCGTCGTCCGTCAGGTTGACGTGTCGCTGCTGCCTCCCATTACCCCCTTCCTGCTGCTGTGCGCTCGTGTCGGCGCCCTCGTCCATTGGTGCCCCGTGCATCGCCGTTGCATCCTCGTCATCACCATCATCGTCAGCACCACTGCCACCAGCATTGGCGGTGTGTGCGAGCTGTGATGCTGGTTCGTGCAGCGGCATTGGACGGCGTGTTCGCGGCCTCTCCGTCAAATCTGCACTGCCTTCACGCTCATCAGGACCAGGTGTTCCCTCGGTATCATCGTGACCATGGGCGTGTAATTGCTGCTCTTGGTGCTGCTGCTGCTGTTGTTGTTGTTGTTGTTGTTGTTGTTGTTGCTGCTGCTGTTGTTGTTGTTGTTGTTGTTGTTGTTGTTGTTGTTGTTGTTGTTGTTGTTGTTGTTGTTGTTGTTGTTGTTGTTGTTGTTGTTGTTGTTGTTGTTGTTGTTGTTGTTGTTGTTGTTGTTGTAGCTGCTGCTGTTGGTCCAGGTTGTCTTCTTCCTGGCTCTTCTCTTGCTGTGGCTGCGCGGAGGCATCTTGTGACGCCTCTTCTACTCGCTCTTGCTGTTGTTGCGCGTTGGCTTCGGCAGCTGTTGCGCCCTCAGCAGCGTGTACGTTATCGTCGTCATCCAACACCACCACCTCGGCTGTCTCGTTTGCGCCTGCCTCTCTCGCTGTCGTCGTCGCCGTGGTCGTCTCTGCCTGAACCACCTCATGTGACACGCTCATGCTACGGCCCCCATCACCGCCATCGTCATCCCCACGGCTGCCTGATGGTGGTCGTCGTCTTCTTCTTGACGTGCGTTGTCGTGGTGACGTTTGCCGCGACGGCGAAAAGGTGACACTGCCAGGCGGTGCAACCACAGACATGTTTGTGTCGGGCACAGCGTACCCCTCTTCCTCCTCCTCTTCTTCTTCTTTTGCCGTTCCTGCTGCTGTTGGTGCTGTGTTGGGCATGGGCGTGGCGGGGGCTAGCACATTTACGGAGTGCTCGTGCTCCAACTCTTCGTGCTTGCTGCGCTTCATCGCCGGCATGCCATCACCATCATCGTTCCCTGTCGCTGCTGTTGGTGCTGCTATCGCTGCTGTGACGGATCTTGCCTGTGCTGCGCGTCGGGCTGTGGCCAGGGCGGCCTCCACGTGCTTCTTCACAGACGGCGGCACTCCGAGCGCTGGTGTGTGTGTGGGTGCGAGTGAGTGAGTGTGTGTGTGTGGTGTGTGTGTGGGGGGGATGGAGGACAGTGTTGGCGGAGCCAGACGAAACATGTTCGTGAAAATGCACATGTGTGTGTGCATGTGCGCTAGCACACGCTGACGTCACAAATGGGCAGTGTGGACTCACATTGGCTCTGGCTTTCCAGCACCTCGGCAGGACTTGTGTTTGGGTTGCACATGATGTTGGTCGAAACCTGCAAGATGGCATATGTAATCTCCTGTTCATTCACAGTCCGAAGTCCAGCACTGCAAATAGGTATATGCAAGCACGCGTGAGCGTGTGGTTGTTTGTGTGCGTATGCGCATGAGCAAGAATGTGTGTGTGCGACAGACACAGAGACAGACAGACAGACAGACAGTGACAGAGACAGAGACAGAGACAGAGACGAAGAGAGCGCGCGCAAGAGACTCTGTGTGTGTGTGTGTGTCCGCTGGAACAAAGTGGTGGTTGAAGGGCAACCAAGCTTCCCATCAAGAGCATGATGAATACAGACGCAGGAAAGCACACACACACACACACACCTGCGCAGGTCAGACTTGACGCTCTCCACCCATTCCTTGTTGGCAGCCGTGATGAGCGACTTGTGAATGCGCACAACCAACTAAAGCGTTCATATCGGGAAAGGTTAGTGACAATGGGATGTGCGTGTGAGTGGTGAAAGCAAACAGGTGGTGATGAGAGTACGCAGTCACACATGCACATGCACACAAAAACAGGTGCACAAACACGTACGCACACACACGCACACAAACAGGTGCACACACACACACACACTCACATACACACACGCACACACGCACGCACGCACGCACGACGCACCACGTCTGGACGGGTGTGACCCTTGCCGTCTGTCTGCACCGCACGCGCCTGCTCCTCGTTGGTGTAGAGGACCGGTAAGCCTGATGCTGCGACAACAAGCTCATACAGCTTCTTGTACTGGTCCACGCTGAGAAAGGCAAAGCGCTTGCCTTGAAAGAGGGCCTTGCGCCGCTCATCTGGCTGGAAACTCGTGTTGGGCGGGATGGCGCGATCCTTCAGTGGCGGCAGGAAGCTGCAGCATCGCATGCACACAGGTGAGGTGGTATGTTCGCAGCAGTTGGTGTGTGTGTGTGTGTGTGTGTGTGTGTGTGTGTGTGTGTGTGTGTGTGTGTGTGTGTGTGTTGACGGTATGTTCCCAGGTGCGTTTGCTGGCATCACTCACTTTTCCGCCTTTGGCAGGGGCGATGTTGGGGTTTTCAGACGCGTGAAGGCAGTCAGAAAGTCTGGCGAGACAATGGGCTTGGTGGCCACGAGTGCCAAAATCAGCTTTGGCGTCGCCTGTGCACCGTGTGTGTGTGTGTGTGTGTGTGTGTGTGTGTGTGTGTGTGTGTGTGTGTGTGTGTGTGTGTGTGTGTGTGTGTGTGTGTATGTGTGTATGAGAATCAGTGACAGCAAGCGCGCACCCAACCATGTTGTTATCCACACACACACGCAGCACAGCACAGCGCAGCACAGCGCACACCTTGATGTCAAGCATGATGAGGTGGGTGGCGTCCGAGACCCAGGCGCGCTCCAAGCGGGCGCCAATCTTGCTGATGGCTGTCTGCACCTGGACCTGGCTCTCCTTGGAGGGCAGGGAGGAGCCCACAAACACGAGCGGGTGCCACTCCAGTGCGACCGTGGTGTGGTTGGCGCCAAGCTCGAGCGTGCTGTACTCGTCAACCAAGTACTCGCGCTCAGGCTCCAGCCGCTCGCCGTCCTGGAACGAGCCACACTTGGAGCCCTTGTCCGTGAAGAACACGTCGGGCCGCTCGTTTTGGCCCACTGTGCCGGAGCAGCGCTGCACGCGAATCTCGGCGTGCTGCCTGCTCACGGACACATCGCTGACCACAATGCTCTTGCGCTCCTTGTGCTTCTTCAGCTTGCGCGTGATCAGGTACGTGGTCGCCTCGCTGTCCTCATCCTGCACCACGAGCGGGCACACAATGGCGGCTGCACAGGTTGCGCACGCAAGCGCGGGTGAGAGTGTGTGCACGGCGCGTGTTTACGACGAACAACAGGAAGAACAAGGCGCACAGGAGCAAGCAATATGAGAAACGGCGCGATTCCATCATGGTTTGTCTCACACCCGCTATCGCCATTCGCACCCAATATGACAAACACCAATTTTTCAGCTTCCATCATCATCAGTTCCAAACCAACCAAAAAAAAAAAAAAACCACCACCCAATATGACCACCCAATGTGTCCTCAGCTCTTCGCCAAAAACCAAAAACTGTCCGCAGCCGTTTTGGTGCACAACCCCCAATACAAACCACAAGAAAAAAATTCAAGTCGAAAGCAAAAAACTGACGTTTGCCTGGCGTTTGCACACGAAGCTGCCACATGGCTGGTGTGTGCTCTGTGTGTGTGTGTGTGTGTGTGTGTGTGTGTGTGTGTGTGTGTGTGTGTGTGTGTGTGTGTGTGCGTCAAGTGGCTCGCGTTGGAGGGGAGGAGGAGGAGGATGTGCGTGTGTGTGTCTGTGTGCGTCTCCGCGTTAAGTGGTGTGAATGGCGTCGGCGCGCGCCCTCCCCTCCTCCCCACGCCGCAGCGCAGAAACAAGTCTCCCGACATTTGTGGGGAGCACGACGCTGGCGCACGGTGCGCCGAGTGCTGCAGACTTTGCGGACAACGCGTTTGTTCACGTTTGCTCTGCTTCTCGGAACCGGTGGGTAAAATCAGGTTGGGTAAAATCGGTCAACTTGTGGGTAAAACTGAAATCAGTTGGCATTTGTGGGCAAAACTGGAATCAGTCGGAGCTGTGCACGAGGAGGCATTATGGACGAGAGCACGATGCTGGCGCAGAAAAAGGCAAAGCAGGATCAGGATCAGGATCAGCAAGCACAGCAGGCACGGCAGCAGGATCAGCAGCAGAAGAGCGGCGGTGACACGTCCATGATGGATACAGCATCAACAGAAGACAAGAAGGCTCCACCCGCACAGGTGGACGTGAGCAAAGAAGAGAAAGAGGAGATGACGAAGAAGGAAAAGGGAGGGAAGCAGAAGGAGAAGAACGCCAACAAGACACAAGCAAAGGGCGCCGGCATGTCGGATGAGGCATACCTGCAGACATTGAGCGAGGATCGGCGCCCACCGCCGGCCAACGTCACGCCCGATCTCATCTTCCGCATCTCAGACCCGCACCTGCGCCGCTTCATCCGCTGGGTGCACCAGGAGTACCCGTTGGAGTTTGTCGGCTACAGCAACGAGCTGCTCTTTGCCAAGGTGGACGTGGATCGCACAAAGAGCATGCCGGCGTACGCAACAGCAACAGAGCAGCACTTTGCACACAGCCTGGACATTGGCTTTTCCCACACACCGCAACAGGCGCAGGCGCACGGCCAGGACCATGCCACCGCCACCGCCACCGCCACCGCCACCGCCACCGCCACCGCCACCGCTACCGCAGCTGAGGAGGAGCGGGATCGGGAGCGGGATCAGGAGCGGTTCCGTCGCTGCGTCATGCACATGTTGATGATCAAGATCTGCCAGGACCGGGTCATGGGCCCGCTCGCCCACAGCATCCGCATCTTCCCCATCATCACGTCGTGCCCGGAGGGCGACATCAAGGCCCTCTCGCAGAGCATGGACCTGCCGGACGATGCACACGTGCGTCTGCTGAGCGCCCCTCGCAAGCACGAGTTCACGCTGGCGGATGAACTCCTGGACTCCGAGGACATCTCCATTTACCCGGACCCTCGCTGGGCGCAGTGCACCCACATGCTCACCATTGTACCCTGGAAGCACCGCTGGCTCGTCTCCCTCGCAGAGCGGCCCGCCTTTGAGCCCTTCTTCGACCGCAAGGGATCAGACCACATCATCCACACAAAGGCGCTGGTGAGACTGTTGTGTGCGGGTGGGGGGGTGTAGATGTGTGTGTGTGTGTGTGTGTGTGTGTGTGTGTGTGTGTGTATGTGTCTGTCTGTCTGTCTGTCTGTCTGTGTTTGTCTGCCTGTGTTTGTCTGTCTGTTTGTCTGTCTGTTTGTCTGTCTGTTTGCCTTGTGTTTTCTGTTTGCCTTTCCAGTGTGCCTGTGCCTGCCTGTCTGCCTGTCTTTCACCGCCTCTGGCTGTGCCTGTGTCTGGCTGTTCCCCGCCTTCCTGCACCCTCCGCCCCTGGGTGTCTGTACCTCGAGCTTGCCCTGTGAGTCCTCACAGAGCTCACAACCGCTCACCTCTCGTGCTTGGCGTGGCATGATGTTGGGTTTGGCTGCACGTAGGGGGACTGGACACCCATTTCTCGCGCGTACTTCAAGCTGAACGAGGTGCTCCTGCGCCGTTCATTCACACTCACCAGGTACAAACAGTCATGACGGTGATGATGATGATGATGATGATGATGATGATGATGATGATGATGATGATGATGATGATGATGATGATGAGACCGTGGTTGCGGCAGCGATTGATGGCCGTGGTGATAGCTGAGGTGGAGGGATAAGGAGGAGCAGGAAGGGAAGGTGGCACTGTTGACGTGTTGGCGCTAAGTCACCTGTCTGTGCGCGCTGCTGTGCTGCATTGCAGGGATATGACGGCAATCGACGTTGGGGCGGCGCCGGGTGGATGGTCCCAGTGCATGGCCAAGGTCTGAGCTTTGGGGAAAGGGCTTACTGCTGATGCTGATGCTGATGCTGATGCTGTTGTTGTTTTTTGTTTTTGTTCTTTTGTTGTTGTTTTTTCATGGCAATGGCTGATGTGTGTTTGCTGCTTGGTTCCACTGACTGCCCAAACACATCCTCACGCACTGAACCCCACACAAACACAAACGCAAACACATCCTCACACATTCAAACCCACTTGCATCCCGCAACAACAGCAAGCTGGGCTGGTACTTGCTGTCGATCCTGGTGCCATTGAGGTTCCCCATATCCCTTACACCCCGGGCATGAAGCGGTGTGTGCTTGTGTGTGTGTGTGTGTGTGTGTGTGTGTGTGTGTGTGTGTGTGTGTGTGTGTGTGTGTGTGTGTGTGTGTTTTCTGTGCAGGGATTCGTGTCCTTTCACACTGACTCACTCACACATGCACCATCACGCATCCATTCACACATGAACTCCATCCATTTACACCCCTGCGCACCCCTGCACAATCACGTATCCATTCGCACGCACATGCAGCCCGAGCGAGCCTGGAACCATCATCCACATCCAGAAGCGCATGCAGGACTCCCACGCCATTTTGGAGGAGTTTGGGCCTTTGCACATGTACACGTGCGACATGAACGTCGAGTTTGGCGTCGTGCTGGATCTGCTGGCAGAAGTGTTCCCGCACCTCGCTGTTGGCGCTCTCACGGTGGGCACAGACGAGGGAGCAAGGAGGAGAGGGGGGAGGGCTTGGAGGTTGAGGTGCAGATGGGGCGCTTGGAGTGCATGTGGGGCCTCTTCAATGTGCGATGGATGGTGGTGCTGGACAGTCACGGATGACCTTGGTCAAGTCACGCATGCTCGCACGCCTCCACATCCCGGCACGCTCACATACGTACGCACACACATCCACACACATCCACACACATCCACACACATCCACACACATCCACAAACACACACGCCTGTCACTGCTGTGGATGGACATTGAAAGGTTGTCACTGTCAAGCTCTTCCGCAAGGCCAGACACTCGCTCGTCGCCATTCGTGACGCGCAGACCAAGATCAGGTGCGTTCCAACCTGTCGTGGTTGCGACTTTCATGATAACACTGAATGTGGCCGTCCGCACTGCCTCCTTCCGGAGTATTGCATCATCGTTGCACGGATGCATGCTTCACTGATGCATGCTCAGACATGCATCACATAACACCACATCACTCACGCACGCATGTACGCACTCACGCACACGCACGCACACACCTCGCGTTTGTTTCCCCTGTTCTGCAGGCAACTTGGGTTTGGGCACGTGCAGGTGCTGCACTTGTTTGCCAACAAGAAGCAGGAGTTTACGGTGATTGGTGTGAAGCTGGACGCTGAGCAACGCGCCGCACAGTGGAAACGGCAGCAGGAATACGAGGAATCGCGCAAGGCCAGCAAGGCCGACAACAACGACAACTCGGACCCTCTTGCTGACCTCTAACCAACACCCGGCCGTACGCAGATGTGCGTGTGTGTGTGTGTGTTCGTGTTCGTGTGTGTGTGTGTGTGTGTGTGTGTGTGTGTGTGTGTGTGTGTGTGTGTGTGTGTGTGTGTGTGTGTGTGTGTGTGTGTGTGTGTGTGTGTGTGTGTGTGTGTGTGTTTTCGTGAAGGCCAGGTTGCTGTCTGTTTGCTGTGCACCTACTTCCACCCTCTTCACCTCCTTTCTCTGCATGTTGGGAGCGTCCTCCTCCCCTTTTGGTGGTGTGTCTTGCTCTTTGTTGTTCATGTTGTTGATGTTGTCATGTGTAATGCAACGGAAATGAATGTCACACAGCCCACAACAACGAGCATGCGCAAGTGAAGTGGCAGAAGGGGAACACAAGGTCAGCACGCACACAGCACAGCGTGCTCACGGAAAAAGAAAAAACGGGGGCGAATGACAACGACGCCCATGCGCAAGCAGTGATGATAAGCAAGCAGCCAAGGCAATACGCACCGCCGCACAACAAACAGAAAGAAATAAAGTGCGCTTGCTTTTGCTTGCAGGCGACAAGACACAGAAATGGGTGAGTTGTGTGAGTTGTGGCCACAGGGGACAAGCGCGCAGTGAAACAGTGAGGCAGTGAAGTGCCCCAGTTGAAATGCCCGTGCACCATCAAGCCACCAGTCACGCGCACATGCAATCTCCAATCGTCAATCACTCGTCCTCGTCTTCGATGGTGCCGTAGATTGGCTGGGGCACATCGGCATCCGGCGTGTCGTACACGGGCTGCTGTGGTGGCGTGGCCTGCGCATTCCCATCGCCATCGCCACTGCCGTCGCCACCTTCTTCAAACCCATACCCGTTCTCTGCCTTGACGCCGAGATTGGCGGCGTTGTCATAACCTCCGTTGGCACCCAGATCGTCACCGTCATCGCCATCGTCGTCGTTATCGCCAGGAGCATCATCTGGGGCCACGTCCAGGTAACCGCCCATCTCATCGCCCTCACCGGCAACGTCGTCGTACTCATCAGCAAGCAGGTCCTCCGAGCTCTGGTACAGCGGGTTCTGCTTCTTGTCCTGGCCCATGGCGAAGGCAGGCTCATCGTACAGGCCTTCCTCCTCGGCATCGCCCACGCCAGCGTCGGAGTAGATGGCCTGCTGCACGGGCATGGGGTCGTCGTACATGGGGTTCTCAAAGCTGACAACCTGGCGCTCGTTGAGGGCGCCCCGCTTCTTGTTGCCGGCCGAGCCGCCGCCGGAGCTGGACGCGCGACGACGCATGATGACCACGAGGACAATCACGGCAATGAGCACCACCGCGCCACCAGCAGCACCGCCCACAGCACCAACAGGGACCGATGCCGTCGACGCTGCGCCGCTGCCCCTGTTGCCACCGCCGTTGGTGGTCGTCGTGGTGTCGCCTGCGTTGGTGGTTGTGGTGGTGGTTGTTGTGCTGGAGGCGATGAAGGCGTCAATCATGGCAATGACCTGGTTTGAGACGGAGTTGAGGGTGGCGGCAGCGTCGGCCTCGTCCTGCGTCGTGAGGAAGGAGGTGCCGTCACTGGCACAGCGCACGCCGCAGTTGCCAATGAGCGAGTAGAACTGCTGCTCAATGAGGGTTGGCCACGAGCCACGCGACGGCGTGGAAGCGCGTGGGCGCGTGCCGTCTGGCCACAGCTGGTCAAACAGGTCCTGGTAGATGGTGGAGACGAGGCAGTTTGGCAGGATGCCGTCTTCCAGCGACACGCACGACGACGCCGTTTTCACCTCAAAGTCGCTGGTGAGGCTGGTGATGAAGTCAAGGAGCTCCGTGTAGCGGCTGTTGGCGTCCTGCGTCTCGACCAGCGGGCAGCTCGGATGCACGCGGCCCGGGGCGCACAGGCTGACGTCCACCAGCATGGTGTAGGTGATGGTGATGCGCAGGAGGTCAATGGCGTTGAAGCGGCGGCGGCGGGCCGCTGCGTTGCTCTGGGCCTGCTGCTGGTCCCCGTATGTGTACAGACTAATCTGCACGTTGTCGCAGTCAATGCCCTCCAGTGGCGGGAGGCCCTTCAGGCGCTGGCACAGCATGCTGGTGAAGCGGTCGTAGTTCCAGCTCTGGAACATGGCAAACACGTCTGACTGTGGCAGGAGCGTGCCGACAACAAAGCTGATGGTGTGCTCCTGCTCCTCCACGGTTGACAGGGCCTGTGCGTCAGAGGAGGCGGCATCAATATCCAGGCAGCGCACAGCCTGCAGCAGGTACGTGCCCACCACAGAGTTGCGGTACGGCTGCGGCACAGAGGCGAAGGAGCCCAGGGCAAACGCGGTCACCGTGGCGCGGAACTCGTCCACGTCCACGTTTGACATGAGCGCAAGGCCAGACATGTCCAGCACAAACGGCGGAGGCGTGGTGGCTGCGGTGGTCGTGGTGTCGGCTGGCGTGGTTGTGGTTGTGGTTGTGCTCTGCGCACCAGCGGTTGATGTGGTCGTGGTTGTTGCGGATGCTGTTGTTGCGTTGACGTTGGCTGATGATGTTGTCGATGCATCTGTTGTGGATGTTGTTGTTGTTGTTGTTGTTGTTGTTGTGGCCGCTGTTGTTGTTGTGGTGGTGGTGGTGCTGACGGTGGTCGTTGTGGTGACGACGTGGTTGATGGACACGAGGTAGTCGCTGATCTGCGACATGACGGAGAGGGCGTTGGCCAGCTCGCTGCCCGGCTGCGCGGTGTGCAGGAGGTAGGCCACATCGGAGCAGGCCGAGCCAAATTGGCTGGCGCACGTGGTCTCGACGTCGGCCAGGTCGATGGAGCAGGAGAGCTCGAGGCCACGCAGGGCTTCGGTCATTACCGTTGTCCAGGCGTGCAGGGCAAAGAGGCGGTCGGAGGAGGGCCACGTGGTGTCAAAGGTCTTGTCGAGGTGCGAGGCCGTGAGGCCGCTGAGGGCAATGGCGGGGCCCGTGACGGAGCCCATGTAGGTGAAGCGCGTGGACGTCCTGGTGAGGGTGCCCTGCACCTGCACCGCGCCGCCAAACGACTCGGTGATGAGGTCGGCAATGGCGTTCTCCATGCCCGTGACGGAGGCCGGGAGGGTGAACGCCTCGTCAAAGGCATCCACCACAATGTCCGGCGGCAGCGTGTTGAGGAGCAGCTTGTAGGAGAACTTGTACTGGAAGAGGACGGTGGTTGTTGCGGTGAGCTCCGCCAGGTTCTCTGCCGCCAGGGCCTTGCCGGCACTGCGGATCTGCGCGTTGTTGTCACGGCCCAGCGAGGCGTCGGGGCATGTGGAGTAGCACACGCACTCGTCGCGGGACGCGTCGTACTGGCCAACATCCTGGCAGCGCTGCGTGAGGGCGACGGGGTCGCCCGACTTGAAGAAGACCTCGAGGTCGCGTGGGTTTGGGGAGAACTGGTACTCTGGAAGCAGGGTGCGCTGGTCGTCGCTGTCGAAGCGGGCGCCGCCCATGATGAGCGTGTCCAAGGGGGTGAAGCCGCGCACGAAGAGCTTGTAGCTGCTGCTGCCGTCAAACTGGGCAATGTCATCGGCGCAGGGCGGGCTGTCCACGTCGCTGCCGTCGATGGTTTCCCAGTTTTTGTGGCAGTTGAAGTCGCACTCCTCGCGGAAGCCCTGGCCGCCGATGAACTTGGCCTCCGGCACAACGGTGTCCTCGCGCTCGAGGAAGACAAGCTCCGTGCCGTCTGGATCCAGCTCCAAAATGCCGTCCGAGGGCAGCACAAGCTCGTGCATGGCGAGCGACCCTGCAGACACAAACGACGACACGGGCTTCCAGGTGGCCTCCTCCTCGACGGTGGAGGGCCCGAAGAACACGGTGGTGATGGGGTCCGAGGACGTGGAAGGGGAGACGCCGTTTTGCCAGTTGTCGGGGTTGTGGTTCCAGTTGGTGTCACAACCACGCCACACAAAGCGCGCCGCGGCCGCAGGCTGCACCCACGCGCAACACATGAGCATGGCAGCTGTGGTGGCAAGCACGGCTGTGGCGGAAAGCGTAGCCACAGCAGTCATGGCTATGGCTGGTTGGTTGGTTGAGGAGAGGAGGAGGGAAGCGGGGAGGGAAGCGAGGTCGGAGGGAGAACGGTCGGTCGAGCAAGGGCGTTTGAGAGTTTGTGGGGGGGGGGGCAACAACAACAACAAACAAACAAAGAGAGGAAATGGTGTGCGGCGAGCAACAACAAACAGCAACAAGCAAGCCAGAAGCCATAAGCACAAAACAAAACAAAACAAAACAAACAAAACAGCCAACGCTCGCTCGCTCGCTTGTTTTGTGTGTTTGCTTGCAAGCACAACCAGGTGGGGAGATATCGCGAGACAATTTGTTGAAGTCACCGATTAATTTTCCGAACCACGCCAATTGGTGAAAGATTTCCATCTGTCAACTGATACGACTGAATTCAGTTTATTGCCCGAGCGTACACGGCTGTCGCGAAGCCGTGAAGAAGGGAAGCAAAAGCAAAACTAGCAAAAGCAAAACTAGCAAAAGCAAAACTAGCAAAAGCAATCTTCTCTTGCAAGAGCAATGATGGGGTCACCACCAGAAGAAGTGAGGGTGCGTGAGGCTGTCATCCATCGAAGGTATGTGTGCGTGAGGCAGAGAGGGGGGAAGGGGAGGGGAGAAGAGGGGGATCAAAGCAAACAGGAAGCACAGAGCAGACAGAAGTTGCTACTGCTGCTGTTGTTGTTGCTCGAGTTGCTGCTGTTCCTCTTGTGTGTGTGTGTGTGCAGGTGTGTGTGTGTGTGTGTGCAGGTGGGTGTTCTGGAACCTGCTGTTTCTTGCCACATCGATGCATGTATGCATGAACGAAACAAACGTGGTGGCTTTTGTGGACGTACGTCATGGACTGTCACCAACGCCATGTTGCAAACAGGGAGGGCGAGGAGCTTGGGATCACACTGCGCATCCACCCGGATGGATTTCTCGTTCATGAAGTCATCGACTGCTCTCCCGCTCACCGCGCCGGCATCGCAGTCAGTGTGTGTGTGTGTGTGTGTGTGTGTGTCTATGCGTTGAGTGGCTGTAGATCTAAAACGCATCGCTTCACCCTCGCTTGCTGATCTCTCTTGCCGCACACACACACAAACACACACACCCACTCACTCACACAAACACACAAACACACACAACCACACACACCCACTCACTCACACAAACACACAAACACACACAACCACACACACCCACTCACTCACACAAACACTCACTCACACAAACACACACACACACACACAATGCACCACTAGCCCGGAGATCGGATCAGGGCCATCAACGGGCGAGCTACGCTCAAGTTGACACCAAGCAAGTTCAAAAAGTGCGTGGAAAAGGCTGGGTCTGTCGTGAGACTGCGCGTGGATCGGGACACGCTCCCCTCCACCCGAGAAATCATCCTCCACAGGCACACCGACTGGAACTTCAAGGTACCACGCCCGCACAACCACGAACACGCCACACACAACCACAATAGCATGAGTGTGCAACGCATATGCACATACAAACAAGCGCACAAGACAAGCTAGGCATCATTCTCGCGTCATCTCCTCACGACAGTTGTGATCTTTTCACTGTTCATAACGCAGCTCAAGTTCCAGACGGGCCAGCATGGCATTCAAATCAAATACAACGACGATGTGCCAGCCGATCAGGTACATGGCAGTCAAGGGATTCTTCATGACACGCGCTATTCTCTTTTTGTTTTGCATTGGCCTAGTTGTGGGAGGGTGTGGCGTGTCCACACGCAACCAACTGCACCGCACGGCATGCCATAATTTAACAAACCCACAAACCTAATCACATGTGCACATCTACATACACACACGCACACAAACACACACTTTCTCACACACTCTATCTCTCACACACTCTTCTCTCACACTCACTCACACTCTTCACACACACTCTCTCTTCTTTCACACTCACTTACACTCTTCACACACACACACACACTCACTCACTCACACACACACTCACACTCACGCACACGCACACACACACACACACACCAACACTCGCAAACACTCACAGAGGATGGTCGGGGAGGACGAGGTTGTGCTGCGCATCAACGAGCGGTCTGTGCGGCACTGCTCCTATCGAGAGGTGCTCAACGCCATGGTGTTGGCGGGAAACAAGATCCACCTCCTCCTTCTGCGTGGCGTGCCTCCCGTCACGCAGATCACCGTGCACCTGACCCGCACACACGTGCACGAGCCATGGGGCCTCAACATGCGCACTGTTGCGCCAGCGCCAGGCATCTACGTGCAGAACACAGAGCCCCACTCCCCGGCTGCCGTCGCAGACCTGCGCACAGACGACCGCCTCCTCATCATCCCGCGCCTGAAACCGCGCAAGGAATACGCCATCGAGCAGCCTGCGACAGAGGACATTGATGTCACATACGCAACGCATGCAGAGGTGCAGCGCGCGCTCAAGGAATGCCCGCTCCTCTCCATTCGTATCGTGGTCGCGCGTATGGCCATCCCACTCCCGCAAGATTCCGCCAAGGCCAACAACAGCACCACCGCAGCCACAGCCACAGCCACAGTCACAAGCATGGACGCGCTACACCAGCACGCCGCTTCATCACCACATCTCTCGCACCCGCAACACCAACTCTTCCCTGTTGCCCCCATGTCTCCTCCTATGGCGGTGGCGAAAGAGCCCAGTCACCACCGCCCACACGTGCGCCCGCCACAACGGCGCACGCACCACAGAAAGGACAGTCAAGGATACGAGGTGATGTCGCCACCATCCATGATGCCAAGCATCACGTTTGGCTTCCTGCAGACATCGTCGCCCCGTTCGCCCGTCTACCAAGAGGCGTGTGACATCGATGGGTCCGACAGCAAGTCAAACGCCAGCATCCTCAACAACGACGTGGCAGACAAGCACATGCAGCAGAACCAACAGCCCGCGAAGGAGGGTGGTGAGCAAGAGCAGGCGGACAAAGCACGGGCACAAGGAGATGAAGCTGAAGTCGTTGGTGGGGGTGAAAATGGCGATGGAGGGAAAGGATCAAAGCGTGAGAACGACGCACCGGTCCCAGGAGCAAACAGCAGCAAAGGGGCAGGGGAGGAGGAGGAGAAACAAGGGCACAGCAACGGTACGCCGAAGGAAGCAGCTGCCGAGGCGCACGAGAGGATGACGAAGACCAACACGAGGACTGAGGCGGTACTTAAACCTACGGGCGGGAACGGCGAAGAAGAGGACGACACGGAGTGCGCATCCCTGTATGATCGATACTTGGAGCTGAACAGGCATGGCGTGTCGAAGGCGACGAAGACTCAGCTGTCGCACTCGCAATCCCAGCCAGCGCTACCAGAGGTGACCCGGGGTGACGCGGACGCTTCCAAACACAATGACATCTCAACAGCGGCACATCAGGCGACCGAGAGGAGAGACGATGGCGAGCACGCAAGGAGAAACCGCCACGGCCAGCTGCAGGAGCCAACCTACCTGCCACCACAACTGCAGCTGCAGCAAGCGGCGGGCATACCAACGGAGACGCAGTACGGAACGAGCGTATTCGCGCACCTCTCTGCGATTGACTCGTATCCCGCCAATGCAAAGAGGCGACACAAGAGGAAACACAAGAAGAAACACAAGAAGAGGCACGCCAAGGACCATCTTCATCACCACTTTGTTGGTTACCTCGACGACGAGCACCAGAGCAGCCGCCTCATTCTCGACCACCAGCACCAGCAGCACGGACACGTGCACGGCCACCAACAGGCACAGTCACAACAACAAGAGTATCACCGCCACCATCATCACCACCACAAAGACGCATACCGCAAACGCAGGGCGGCGAGGTTGACAGACAAGCCACGGATTGAATCGCCCATGCACGTGTCCCTGCCGTTTCGTCGCAGGATCGGGCACAACCCCAGTCTGCACAACAACATCAATATCAACGCCAACAACCAGAACACAACCACGACGCGTGCCGTTGTTCCTGACATGGTCGAGATTTACTGCCCGGTATGTGGCTGTGTGTGAATGTGTGTTTTGTGTGTATGTATGAGTCCACCTGTGTGTGTGTGGATGCATGTGTGTGTGGATGTGTGGATGCATGTGTATGCGTATGAGTCCACGTGCGTGAATGTGTGTTTGTACATGTGTGAGTCATCAGTGCCATCATCACTCTGTCTCCCTCTCACCCTCACATAACGCCAATTGCTCGTTTGCCCGTCCTGGCTGTGGTCGTGGCCTGTGGCACCACCAACACCACCAACACCACCAACACCACTAACACCACCAACACATCAACCACCCATCACCTCATGCTTGCAGAGCCGGCATGAAATCTTCTATCGCACAGGCCGCCCGTACTAGCGTGAGCGCCATGATATTGCTGTGCAGTGCGCTTCACCCCTCACATGTTTGTATCGTGTGGCACACCCTTGTCAATCGTCTTTGCATTTTGCTGGTCGCCTGAATGGGGGCATTTGCTCTGTGTTATGTTGTTCAGCACGTATGGTTAACATCTCTCTTTTACTGCGGGCTGGAGTCTTGTGTGCAAGGTTGTTGAAGGCGTGATGGGAGCGACGGCTATGAAGTGAAAATGAACGAACAATGGAACAAACAGCACAAACGCACACATGTAAACACAATACGGCGAGCAAACACAATGTCACAAGCGAATGTCGAAATGTGAAAGAAAGGCAGTGCGCATGTACGCACGTGTGGATGCATGCGATGATGAAGAGGACGAGTGTCAGCCTGCTCGGTCGTGTACATGGCTTGGTCAATTCGAACTTTCTGTGGTTCGAGCTGGTGCAATTCCGTGTATGATTGAATGCTTGCTGTTGTCATTGCTGGTACAGCATGGAGGTATAGTCAGCCCCACTTCCTCGCATGCATGGGAACCTGTTTCCCCTCACCTCACACGACAACATGTGTCTGTGCGCACAAAACACGACAGCGACAAAGCACAATCAAACCGAAGCATGTGTGGTGAGCATGAGCAGATCTTGGGGCGTGGGGAATTCATGCACGAGGAACACTGCTCTATTGAGGAGAAGGCAACCAAATACCAAAGGCCATACATGCTCAGCTTTATCAGCAACAGCAGGGCTGTCGTCTTCATGACGCTTACCATGACAAGGCGTGACAAGATGCCATCAGTCAAACCACATTCGTGCAGGTCTGCCACCTACAAGTTGCCACCACCAGATCAGTGTGGGATTGGAGTGAGCTACGACAAACTTGTATTGGGACAAGAGCGAGGGGAGGGAGTCTGCGCAGGCAGATGGCAGGAAGCCAGACTGACTGACTGATTCGTCAATCGCAGGTCCGCATTGGATCAACTTATGCACGGACACACGGACACACGGACACATGGACACACGGGCACAAACAAACAAACACACACACACACACACATACAGACAGACAGACACACACGGACACACGGACACACGAACACACGGACACATGGACACACGGGCACAAACAAACACACACACACACAGGCTCGTATGACCTCATGCTCAACGTACAGATTCAAAGTTGCCACGGAGTTGTCTGTGGGCGAGGATGGCCTGTGCTCGCTTCTTGCCAATGCCGTTCAACTCCATTAGCTCTTTCGCCTGCAGTGAGCAAAATACCAGCGTGGTTGTGTCAACGCGTGCATAGTGGTGTGAGGAGTTGAAAGGTGCCTAGACATATCCTGATGAGCACCACGGATATGGCACAACTCGAGCACATCAGCAATCCATTTGACTCACCCACAACGAGCAGAAAACTCACAGACAGACGCACAGACGCACAGACACACGGCCTCTCAGGTACGCTCGCCGTCTCTCTCACACTCACACGTACACATACAGGCGCACACATATTCACACGCTTAACAAACGCCATCGCACGTTTGCTTCGTTGAGCGTCGCCATGAGGGTTGGTGGTACATGCGCGACTTTGGGTCGCTTGCGACGGACACTGTCACGTGGCTCAAAATATTTCAGCATGCCGTCATTCATAGCATCCTCCTCTTCATTCTCGGGGCTCCAAGTGGGGTCCTCTTGCGTTGAATCATTCAAGTTGTCCTGATGCCCCTACACACGCGTATTTACGCGCGCGCGCGCGCACACACACACACACACACACACACATACACACACACACACACACACACACACACGCACACAAGGTTGTACAGTGCCGACAGCAAGCATTGATCGGTATCATGAGCGAGGTGTTGGGTGTAGCTGGTGTTATGTGATCTGGGTGTATCTGTGGTTGTGTATGCGGCTACATCAGGCACATCACGCATCGGCACTGTCATGACATGCATCCCCAACCATCCTCCCTCAGCACACAATGCAGAAACACGGCCCCAAGGTTCAATGTGGCTGACCTTCTTGGGTGGGTGTTGAATCGGGCAAAGAGGCTTGCGCTTTGCAAGCGGTTTCCTCGCAGCAGCGGCAGCAGCAGGGTGACCCTGTGCATGTGTTGCCGGTCTACCCCCAAGACCACGAACGGGCGTTGCAAACTCATCAAACACCTCAAGCTTCTTTCGCCCAAGCGTGTCTTTCATCTTGCCCTTGTCTGCTGCCCTGGCACGAAACGTTGATCCGCCCAACATTGCCATTCGCTGGCGGCTCTGCTGGAGCAGATTTGTGGTCTTTTCTGTGACTGTGCCGCCCTTCTTGCTCTGCTTGCTACTGGTGGTGGTGGCAGCAGTGGCAGTTGTGCTGTTGCTAGTGGTGCTGTCGATGTGGTCCGCTGGGATTCTGTTCTTGTCGGCCTTAGCCGTGTCTGATTCGTTCTTCCCTTCGCCTGCATTGGTCTTGCCGGCCCGGTTGGCAACTTTCTTGCGAAGCGCCTCCACTTTCGCACGCAGCCCCTCGTGCTTGGGCAGCAGTTCAAGCGCCTGTTGTCATGGCAGTTGTGTGTTTGCATCATATGAGAGACGGAAGACGGCGTGTTTGATGCGAGGTGCAGTTGTGAAGCGGGTACGTCAAGGTCAACGCATCGCGCCTCAACATGTACCCTCACACACACACACACACACACACACACACACACACACACACACACACACACACACACACACACACACACACACACACACACACACACACGTACGCACGCACACGTACGCACGCACACGAACACATGTCCATCACCTCTTCGTAGTGGCGCAGGGCTGAAGGGAGATCTCCAGAACTTTTGAACGCCTTGGCAACTTTGATGATGGACCTGAAGAAAACGGGTGCAGCCAACACAGGAGCGTGTCCGGAATGAGAGCAAGCGTTGTGTGGAGTGACAACACACGAACACACAGCCAACAACACGCCCAAACAGAATAACGATGAAAAATCACAGCCCAATCAGAGCACAGCAATGATTGAACACACACACACACACACACACACACACACACACACACACACACAAAGTGCAAGTGTGGCTCGTACTTGGCGACATGCACACGCTGTTCCTCCGTCATGCTGCTGGAGAAGGTTGCTTTCTGCACTGCGCTGGTCGTCGTCTCTGACTCCGTTGCTGTATCAGCTGCGTCTTGTTGCTGCTGTTGCTGTTGTTGCTGCCCGTTCATTTGTGCCAACATGACATCTGTCATGTACTTCTCAAGCTGTTGCACACGATGCTCCAGCCGCTGTGTGAGCGACCCGTCCTTGCCTTTGCCTGCTGTTGCTGTCGCTGCCTGTTTGGTGGGCCTTCGGCTCCCCTCTGTTTGAATTTCCCGGCGGAGACTGCTCGCGTGTGGCGCTCTTGACGATGCTGACGATGAAGGACCTGCCGGTCTCCTGTTTGCGCGCTTGCTGGTGTTGTCTTCGCTGCCGTCAGCGGCTGCTGCGCTCCTCTTCCCGCCCGCATTCGCGCGCGACGGCCGCACAATGGGCCCTGATGATGTCGATGCTGCCGGTGTTGGCTGCGCCTTGCCTGCCGCGTTTACGCGCGTTGTCCTCGCCTCAAATGGTTTGTTGACAACCTGCCGCGACTTGGACGCAAAGTTGAGCGCGTGGTACGTGTTGAAGTACATGTTCTTGGTGGGGCCGAGGCATGTCAGGATCTTTGCAACGCTGTTTCCGCCAAGCGCCTCCTGCACGTGCACATATGAAACGGAGCCGTGTGAATCAGAGATTGTGTGGTTTTGTGTGAGGATATGTGTGTACGTGTGTATACGTGTGCGTATGTATGTATGTATGTATGTATGTATGTATGTATGTATGTATGTATGTATGTATGTATGTATGTATGTATGTATGTATGTATGTATGTATGTATGTATGTATGTATGTATGTATGTATGTATGTATGTATGTATGTATGTATGTATGTATGTATGTATGTATGTGAGTACGGGATAGAGAGAAAGAGCGCAGGCAGACAGCCTCACCTACACACACACACACACACACACACACACACACACACGCAAACAAACACACACACACACACACACACACACACACAAGGACACACCCATACACATGCACACATACACATACATACACACACACACGCACGCGGACAGCACCGACCTGGAGGAAACGGGTGAGTTTGCTTTCCCTGTATGGAATTCGCGCCTGCTTTCTGTTGATGGCGTCCACCACTTGGTTCAGGGCAAACAGTGACTTGTTAATCGCTGTGCTCTCCTTCATGCGGTCACCAACGTTTCCCGTCTTGCGGTTGTCCTCAGAGCCAGCAAGGTCAATCAAGTGCAATTTGCCCACGCGTGCGTTCCACTCGCCGTTCTTGCATGCGCGCGACTGCACCTGTGCATGCGTGTGTGCGTGCGGTAATATGTGCATGTGGTTGTGCATATATGCGTGGGTTGAGTGTATTCATTTGATTGCAAGAGTACACATTACACCTGTCGACGTGGTTCAGACACAAATCGATGAGCTTCTTCATCCCAACAAAGGCTGACTCACACCTCTCAACACCCAAATCGAAAACCCCAACTTCTCTGTGTGTCTGCGGGTCTGCGGGTCTGTGTGTGTGTGTGTGTGTGTCTCTCTCTCTCTCTGTGTGCATGGGTCTGCGTGTGTGTATATGTGCGTGTAAGTCTTGGCCTGACCTTGATGGTGAGCACAGCGTGGCTTCGGCTTGAGTGGGCGTTGAGTGCTGTGCTGTGCGTTGCACGCTGCTCCAGACCGCTGTTGTATGTCGCCTCGAAGTCCTTGACGCTTTGAATTGGGACCTTTGAGATGGAAAGCGACAACAGGTGAGAAGCTGCGAGGACGGAACGCAAAGAAAGACCACAACTCAGAGAAGGGATATATGCACAGAAGTGTGTACGCGGACAGACGGACAGGTAGACAAGCAAGCAGACAGACAGAGGTGGCGTGTATACCCCTTTCCAGACACACACACGCACACACACAGAGACACACATACGCACACACACAGAGACACACGCAGACGAACAGATACACACACACACACACACACACACACACACACACACACACACACACACACACACACCTCGGCCAAGTCTGGCACGACAATGGAACCCGATGCATCTTGTAGAATAGTGAGGTCGTGATCTTTCGGTTCCAGCAAGTCGTACACCTTTATCAAACATGACAGAAACGCATGATTAGGTTGAATTTGCAGCAGAACCTTCCTGTGATGTCTCTTCCTCTCACACGCCCCTCACACTGCTCGAGCGCTCATGTGTGAGTGTGTGTGTGTGTGTATGAGAGAGAGAGTGTGTGTGTTGTGGACACCGGAAGCAGGTGGGCAGTGCACCCCACCAACCTTTTCTTGGTAAATCTCGAGGAAAGACATGGACACGGTAAACTGCTGTGTGTCCTTTGTTCTCCTGTTCACGAGCTGGAACATGTGCTTGATGCTTCGCGGAATGATACCTGCGTGTTGGGTTTAAGTGTTGAGGATGCAATGGTGAGTTTGTGGTGCTATGGTGGTGATGGCGACGCAATGGTGAGCGTACTGGTTGCTGTGGTGTAGGCATCGGACGTGCTTTGTTGAAAGCAAGAACAACTTGTCAGCATCATCAGAGAACCACGTGCCATGGCTGTAGTTTGTGGCGCTCACCTGGGTGTTGCTTGGTTCCCTGCATGGTGAAGGTCTTGCCAGCGCCAGTTGGCCCGTAAGCGAAACAAGTGGCGTTGAATCCTTTGAGTGGGAGATCCAGCAAAGGTTTCACCTCGCCCATGAAGATTTCCTTTTGGCTCGCCTCCTCATTGTAGCACGCATCAAATCTGTACACACAGACACGCATCACATGTAGCAACATGTGGTGAGCGTCGCCTACACTTGACGAATCTGCTTGTCTTGTCGTCGTGTCATTGTTGCACCCGGGGTTTTTTGTCAGTGTGCAAGCGTGATTCTTGCACCCACAAGAAAAGGGGGCAGTGGAAAGGAGACAGGCACACACACCCAGATGGGCAGATAGACAGATAGACAGATAGACAGATAGACAGACAGACACACACAAGTTTGCACACACACATACATACAAGCATGCACACAAACGCACACACACATACACAAGTGCGCACACATGTCCAACCTGAACTTGAGAGTGTCTGTTGGGGATTTCCAGTTGTAGAGTTGGATGGCCTTGTCTGCTTGTGTCAGACAGAGTTCCTCGTCCTGCTCATGCTCCAGCACGCACCTCACACGCACCGCAACCCTCACGTTCCCCGAGTCCATGGTCGAACCAAGTCTCACAAGCAAGCAAGAAGCAAAGCCTTCAAATTTCAAAATTCGCGGCACAGCACACGTTTGGCAGAAATGCACCGTTTAATCATCGGTTATCGCGCCTTCCTGCTTCTGCCACTCTGACCAACCCAGGACAGTGGCACACAGATCACGGAAAAGGCAATGCAACGAACGTCGCACGTCAACTGCAATGTAACATTTAACAGCGAAATAAACAACACACGTGTGCTCACCAAGCACTATCTCGTACACACGCCTCTCCCGAAGAATAAAGCTGAAATCAAAGGGCAAAGTCATCTGTCATCACATCGCACGTCACATCACAGCTCCTCAAGGGCCAGCCGCTGGTCCATGTACGCTTGCCACAGCTGTAGCCCGGGAAGAAGCAAGCGAGGAAGCGAACCACCCAAAACAGAGTGAACAAGCGAGCAAGTGTGATCGTGGGATGGTGTCGTTGTTGGTCAAACAGCATGTCACAACCACGCAAAGTCCACGCCGCCGTACCTCTGCGAGTGACCCGGCAGTGTCGGCGTGTTGGGGGCCGTGGTGGGCGTTTGCGTTGGCCAGCGTCAGCTCTGGTGCTTGACATGCACTGAACTGGACTGATGTTGCCTCTGGAGTCTGCGTGTGTGGTTGAGGCGTCGCATGGCCGAGCATAGATGAGCCTGGTATCCTCGGCGCGTCCTCGCCTTCATCCATAGTTGATGGCACTGTTCTTGTTGCAGTCGCGTGTTGTTGTGCGCCCTCATGTTGCTGCTGGTGCGGTGCTGTAGACTGGCACAGCTTCTGGAGTGTCCACGTGCGTGTGTGTGTGTGTGTCGGTGGTGCGCATCTCGTCAATGAGCGTGTGATGATGACAACGGACAAAAATGAAAGGCAGTAACATAATGTGACAACCGCGCGTTTGCCCCTCACAAACACTCAAATGCAAACGCGCGCTGTGCTCTCTCACCGCTCGTTTCGTGGATGGGCCTCCGTCGTCCGGCAAACAAGCTGTGTCGTGGTGCACTGTGTTCGTGCTTGTCGATGCCGTGTGCTGCTGGGCGCCCAGTGTCCAAGGACAGCAGTGGGCACTCTCCTGAGCATGCCCACGCCACACAGCAGCAACACCATCCCCCATCGTCACAACAACAACAACAACAATCGGGAGGATGCAAAAATGCACAGTCCTTTTTGTTGGTGTTTTGTTTTGTTGTGTGTGTGTGTGTGTGTGTGTGTGTGTGTGTGTGTGTGTGTGTGTGTGTGTGTGGTGGAAGCAACAGCACCGCGATCACACTGCCTTTCTGTTGGTCACATCACAATCAGATACGTGTTTGCTGGTGCTGATTAATGTGAGATAACCATCAAGCTCGCCCGCCCCCCCCCCCAAAAGGCACTTCACAGCCTTCACTCACACAGTCACGCTGCACGTGTTGTCGTGGTTGTGGTCGTGGTTGTGGTTGTGGTTGTGGTTGTGGAGGCGACAAGCGGCGACGAGGATAATGGTGGCACTGGTGGCGGGTGGACTGTCACTGCTGCTGTAGCCGCGCTTGCTGTTGGGGCTGCACGTGGTGCACTTGTTGGTGCTGTTGGTGCACTTGCTACTGCCGCTGCTGTGGGGCTGGCAGGACCAGCGGGCTCAAAGCCCTCATGACCGCTAACACCACTGTCCTCCACCACCTCCTCCTCCGCTGTCGCCACCACGGGTGCAGCCTTGAACATGAACCCGTCCTTAAGAAACGGCAGCCGCCCAATGTCATACGCAGACGGCCGCTCTGCCGGATCAACGGTCCACATCGCCTCCAGCAGCTTGCACAGCCCAATGCGCGCCGCTTCCTCCTCCTCAACCCCCGTGTCTCCTCCAACGCTTCCAACCACGAACGTGTCCACACTGTCCCTCGCGCATTCGCCTTCGCCTTCGCCATGGCCATGGCTTTGCCCCCGCCACCGCAGCCCATCACCGCTGCGAGCACGCGGCCGGTGAACAGGCAGGGCTGTCAGCGCACCCGCCAACCGCTGCACAAAGTGCGCGCGCACGCGTTGCCACTGTGGGTGTGGGAGGTCGAGGGCCTGTCGCCCCAGGTACAGCTCCCGTGTGCCCATGGGCAGGCAGTCTTGCGTGCCAGCCTCCCACAGCAGGCAGCCAAGGCACCACACGTCCACGGCCCACCTGTACTCTGGTGCAATGAGGCGCTCGCCGCCCTCAAACGATTCCGGTGCCTGGTAGCACAGCGTGCCGCGCACCGTGCTAAGCGGCCCTGCCCTGCTCTGTGGACGAGGTGGATGCTGGTGGTGGTGGTGGTGGTGGTGCTCGTCATACTGGTGGTGGTGTGGCAGCAGCGACTGCGGGCCGAACACGTTACCTTGTTGTTGTTGTTGTTGTTGTTGTTGTTGTTGCTGTTGTTGTTGTTGTTGTTGTTGTTGTTGTTGTTGTTGTTGTTGCTGTTGTTGTTGTTGTTGTTGTTGTTGTTGTTGTTGTTGTTGTTGTTGTTGTTGTTGTTGTTGTTGTTGTTGCGGTGCTGTGGGCTGTGGGCGGCGTGGGAACGGGCCAGGCGTCTGCAACAGCGCCGTTGTCATTGATGTGGGCACCGCTGGCACACTTGTTGCTGCTGTCGACAGTGGTGATGGCAGTGCGTGTGGGGGCAGGACCGGTTGCGGTCGTGACGGCGACGTTGGTGGGGTCAATGCTCGCCCACATCGAGGTGTCCCATCCTCCCAAGAGCAAGACGGAAGCGAACGGGTACGAACACCCTGAGCCATGTGATCGCCATCATCACCAGTACCATCACCGCCACGTGCATCATCGTTCGCACCCAGCATGCTGTGCTGTGGGTGCATGTGCACGTGCGAGTGCGGATGCGTGTTGGGATGGGGTGGGCGTGGGACAAACACGCCGGTTGTGTTGCGGGCCAGCCCAAAGTCGCCCAGCTTCACCAAGTCCCTAGGGCCGGGCCGAGACTTGACGAGCACGTTCTCGAGCTTCAGGTCGCAGTGCACAACACCGCGCCCGTGTATGTACTCAAGCGCATCCGCAAGCTGCCGCACAATGTCAACAACGTCATCCAGCGTGATGGGCGTGTCAAACACAATGTCTGACAACGTGCCCCTGTCGCAGTATTCCATGATGATGCACACGCAATCCGCCGCACGGGCAAGGCTGGCGTCCGTGTGTTGGTGCCCAAAGATGTCAATATACTGCACCACGTTGTCGTGGCGCAGGTGCATGAGGAACTTTGCCTCCTCCACCACCGCCATGGTGTGCTGAACAGCGCGCGGCCCAGCTTTCACCTGCGCAACAACGTGCAAGAGTTACCCATGGGTGTGCGTGTTGTTGTGTTGTGTATGTGTCATGTGCAGTGGGGTGGAGTGGGTGCGTGAGGATGAAGTGTGTAGCTTGATGTGCGCGTGAGAGAGTGCATACTGTGTGTGAATGTGTGTGCGTGTGTGTGTGCGTGCATGTGTGCGTGTGTGTGTGTGCGTGTGTGTGCGTGCATGTGTGCGTGTGTGTGCGCGTGCATGTGTGTGTGTGTGTGTGTGCGTGAGAGTATACACATTGCGTGTGCGTGTGTGTACGCACCTCGACCATCTTCATGGCAAAGACGTCCCGGCCAAGTCGACACAGATATACGCTGCCAAACTTGCCCGCCCTGCACGGCATGCATGCAGCAGCACGTGAGCAGATGTGAACGAATGCAAAGGGCATGATGATGTGTTTGGTTGGTTGCAAGCGTGTGTGTGTGTGGCTGTCAGTGACAAACGAGGGCTGGCCTGGCAGAAGGTGCCTGTCGAAGCTGTTCCTGGCACGGCAGACGCCAGAGACGCAAAAAAAAAAAAAAAAAACCACATTGCACACCACAATATCCCGCACCACACCAAAAATCCCGCACCACAGCACGACTCAAGACAAGTTAACACGCCGCTCACCCAACAACGGCTGTCTTGTCGACGCGCACGAGTCCCCGGTCAATAGGACTGAGGGCGGATTGGCCAAGCACAATATCGTGGCTGCTGCTGCTGCGTCCCTCTCGGTTATGCTGCTGCTGCTGCTGGTGGTGGTGTTGGTGTGGCTGCTGTGACATGGAGGCAGAAGCAGCGATGCGTGCGTGGCGTTGGTGAGCAGCACAAGCGAAGGTGGGGGGGGGAAAGAGGTGCTTTAGGCGGATGCATCGATATAACGGCACAACGCACTGTAACACAAAAATGCAGATGCAGAAAGAAAGAAAGAAAGAAAGAAAGAAAGAAAGAAAGAAAGAAAGAAAGAAAGAAAGAAATGTACAATTCAGCACACACACAGATACACAGACACACAGACACACACAGACACACACAGACACACAGACACACAGACACACACAGACACACGTGCAGGTGGACGCCATACCCGACGGGCAGATGCGAGGATTGCAGCGGCAATCTCTCGCAGCTTGTGCGGCGACAGGGTGAGAAGATGGCCAAACGTATCAATGCCGTGCGATGTCAGGATGGCTGCACAGTCTTGGACATCCACGTGTTTCAACATTGTCAGTGCTCGCAGCAGCTCCCGCTCCATTCCACCACCACCGCCACCGCCACCGCCACCACTGCTCTCGTTGCCAGCATCACGGTCCATTCTCTGTGCACGGGGCAGCAATGCGCCAAACATGCGTGACAGTGACGCCACCAGTGCTGATGATGAGAGTGAGGACGAGGCTGCCGACGACGACGGTGTGCTTGATGGGTTGGAACGAAGGATGGGCGAAGACGAACGTGGTGCTGCAGCTGATACGGGCACAGCATGCACGGGTGAAGCGCTGGCTTGGCGGCTGATGACATGGCTGTCCATGTCAAGCGTCGTGTCCATGCTGTCATCATCATCATGGTGGTCGTAGTTGTCGATGGTGGCGTTGTGAAGCGCGTGCCTCGTCTGAACATCTTCAATCTCCTCAATGCAAGCTCTGTCATCGGAATGTGTTATCTCGGTGGCGCGGGTGTCGCTTGCCTGGTCATGCAGGGTGACGATCGTGGGTGTCCGAGACAGGTGTGACGGCGGGTCTGAAGCAGAGGGTGATGACGATGACGATGATGATGCTTGGAGACCAGGGTGGCTTTCCCGTGTATGAGCTGCATGGGAGTGCAATGACTCTGGTCTAGTGCCGGCAGACGAAAGCCCGTGCTGTAGAGGCTCTAAGATGGCGTGCAGGTCCTGACAGATACGCGCTATCTTCAGTTGTGCTTGTAGGGCCTCGGCGTAGTCATGCACGTCCAGCTGCGCCAGGTTGATGGCTGACGCAAGGTCCTTCTCGACCACAGACAGGCGTGAGGACAGGGTCCAGGCGCGTGTCCTGAGAGCGGACGCGATGGTGCCCGCGCCATGGCTTTGCGATACCAAACCCTGCAACACTGTGTGTGCGTCGTTGCTCTTGAGGAACGCTGAAGCGGCAGCAACGCGGGCCACGCGACCGTCCTGCTCCTCCTCTCCGTCGCGTGCAGTGACAGAGGCGCGCACGATGGATGGCATGTACGTGCACAGCAGCGCGTCCACCACGTCCAGCACGGTGTTGTCGAGGGTGGCCCTCACACTGTCCAGTCTGGCCCGCCAACTCTCAACCACTGTCGTCGGTGTGCCATCCATTGTGCAGGGTGACCTTGCAAGACATGCACTCGCAGCAGCACTCACCGTGTTTGACTGTTACTGTTACAACAACAACAACTCTACAGCACGCATCACATCACACCTCCGCCGTTCATCACACACCCAGCCAGCCAACGCACGCACAACAGCAACGCGCAGCGTTCCGGAAAATGCTGCTGTACCCGACAGCACAAACCGCATACACGAAGCAATGCCTCCCTCCTTTCCGTTGTGCAGCCAGCCAGCCAGCAGCCATCACATTCAATTCCTCCGCCCATCACCATCAGATCAACGACCACGCACCCAGCTCCCACACGCACTTCGCGGCATCGCTGCACTGTTGCTATCGGGCGGGTGTTGTGCGTGTCCTCCTTCACTCCCCCCCCATTGCTGTTGCCCTCTTCGAGCCACGCTTTGGCCTGTCATCGTCGCGTTTGTCGCACGGCACAGAGGGAACCCGCAACAACAACAGCAACGACAACAGCAACACCAGCAACAACAACAGCAACGACAACTGCTGCTTCACCCTAACCCAACCCAACACACACAACACATACAGACACACACACACATACACACAGACACACACACACACACACACCATCGGTCATCATGGCGTCGACGACTGCAAGCATCAGCACGGCGCCACTAACCACGACAAGCTCGTCGATGAACATGACAAACAACATCATGGCTGACGACAACGACGCGCCGCTGTGGCAAGGGATCGTCACGCTGTGCTTGCTTGGCGTGATGCTCGTGGCCATGGCCAAGGAGCTGGCCCCGCCAGACATGCTCATGATGGGCATCCTCGTGCTCTTCGTCCCCATGGGGATCATCACCATCAACGAGGCCGTGGAGGGCTTCTCCAACACGGGCATGCTCACGGTTGCCGTGCTGTTCCCCGTCGCCGCTGGCGTGCAGCTGACGGGCGCCGTCGAGCCCCTGCGGCGGCTGCTTGAGCGCCGCACACGGCCCGCGCGCGGCGAGCTGGCCAGCGTGCCAAAAGTCCTCTCCTGGATCATGCTGCCCATCGCGGCCCTCTCCGCCTTCCTCAACAACACGCCCGTTGTAGCCATGATGATTCCGCTGATTGAGAAGCTGGGCCAGCGCATCGGCGTGGCGCCCTCCAAGCTCCTCATCCCGCTCAGCTACGCCTCCATCTTGGGCGGCACGTGCACCCTCATCGGCACATCCACCAATCTCGTGGTTGTCGGCCTTGTCTCCGAGCGCGTTGAGGGGTTCTCCATGGGCATCTTTGAGATTGGGCAGGTGGGCCTGCCGGTGCTGTTTGCGGGCATTGCGTATGTCCTGCTGCTCGCCGCGCGCGTGCTGCCGGATCGCCAGTCTGTGACCACCGCCATTGTGCGCCCGAAGGAGTACATCACGTGCATGTTCGTGAAGAAGGCGTCAGAGGCGTCCAACACGACACTCGAGGGCAAGACGGTGCTTGAGGCCGGCCTGCGTAGCCTGCCTGGCCTCTTCCTCATCCAGATTGAGCGTGAGAACGGCGTGATTGTGACTGCGCCCAGCCCAGATTGTATCCTGCAGGGTGGCGATAAGCTCTTCTTTGCAGGCAAGGTCGACTCCGTGCTCAGCCTCTCCCAAGTCCGCGGCTTGCGCCTCGCCGAGGACGACGTAAGAAAACAGAAAAGGGGACCCTTGCGCGCGCGTGTGTGTTTGTTGTGTGTGTGCGTGTTCTTGTGTTTTGTGTGTGTCTGTGTGTTGTGTGTGCATGTATGTTTGTATGTGTGTGTGTATTTCCTTGCATGCTTGCACATATGCCTACGCATTATCACGCGGCGTCATGACACCGCCCTCGTTTCTCACCACATCACCACATCACCACATCACCACCATCACCATCACTGGTGACCATCAGGAGCACGAGGTTGACCTGAATCGGCTTCGTGGCGACGACATCCTGGTTGAGGCCGTGGTTGCGCCCCACTCCGCCCTTGTGCACCGCAGCGTCAAGGCCGCCCGCTTCCGGTGCGTGTGTGTTGTGTCGTGTTGTGCTGTGCTGTGCTGTGTGCGCGTGCGCGAAAAGATGTTCATATGCGTGCCCTTTTGGCTCACACCACACCACACCACACCATTGTACGTCTGCCTCGTTTTCGTCCCAACCTCACCCCGTAATCACTCCCCCCCCCTTTCCCTTGACCACCTCATCGTCGTGCGCGCGTGGGCAGCACGCGGTTCAAGGCCGCCATCATTGCCGTGCACCGCCACGGTGTGCGCATCAACCAGAAGATTGGCGACATTGTGCTGCAGGCGGGCGACACCCTGCTGCTCGTCACCAACAAGGACTTTGTCAAGCTGTACCAGTCCCAGGACCACTTTGCGCTCGTGAGCGAGGTCGACGGACACCGCAATTTGCGGTGGAACAAGGCTCCGATTGCCGTCATTCTCACCGTGGCCATGATTGCGCTCAGCGTTGCAGAGGTGATCGACCTCCTCACGGCCGCGCTCTTTGCGGCCGCTGGGCTCGTGCTCTTCCGCTGCATGTCTGCGTCTGAGATTCGAAGCGCCATCAACCTGGAGGTGCTGCTGGTGATTGCGGCTGCGTTTGGGCTGAGCAACGCCCTTGTCAACAGCGGCGCGGCCGAGCTCATGGCGCGCGCTGTTGTGTTGGCGTCCAAGCCAACGGGGGTAACGGGGCTGTACATCATGGTGTATCTCACCACCGTGCTGCTGAGTGCCGTTGTCACCAACAATGCCGCCATCACCATCATGTTCCCCGTCGCGTTCCAAGCGGCCATGGATCTCGAGGTAGCGGAGAGACGACTGAAGAAAAAAAGGGGGAGGGGGAGAAGGGTTCGTGTTGGGTTGAGCGTGTGCGATGCGTGTTGGCGCGTTTTGGTGTGTGTGTGTGTGTGGGAGTGTGTGTGAGTTGAACTGTCTTCATTGACCCCACTCGTGCATGTCAATGCAATGCAATCATTACCGTTCACACACACACACACACACACACACACACACACACACACACACACACACACACACACACACACACACACACACACACGCAATGTCTGCACACGTTGCGCAGGAGGATTTCTTTCCGCTGCTTCTGCTGCTGATGATGGGGGCGAGCTCAAGTTTCATGACACCAACGGGATACCAGACCAATCTCATGGTCTACGGCCCGGGCGGATGTGAGTGCTGCAGTGGAGAGGGGAGGAGGAGGAGGGAGGAGATGTGTGCATGCGTGTATGTGTGCGTGTGTGAGAGCAGTGAGTGAATGAGGGAGTGAGACAGACAGACAGACAGACAGACAGACACACACACAGACACACACAGACAGACACACAGTGTCTCACCATGATCCTTGCTTGTATCTCGTTTTGTCTTCGCTCTTGTGCAGACACGTTCATGGATTTTCTCAAGTTTGGTGGCGGGCTGCAGATATGGCTCGGTGTCATCACCGTCGCTGTTGTTGTCACGCTCGAGTTCTGGTACCTGTGGGCGGTGGGCATGCTTGGCCTGGCTATTGCAGTCTTCATCTTCTCTCCAAAGCCAAAGCCAAAGCCTCGTCGCGAGGTGTGTGTGTGTATGTGTGTATGTGTGTGTATGTATGTGTGTGAGTGTTTGTGTGCGTATGTATGTAAGTGGTCATTAAGTTCCCCTCCACCTCGTGTGCACGCCTGTTTCAATGCCACCGTCTGTGTGTGCCTTTGTTTCGTCAACCTCACGTACCTGAACTCCCCATCTTGCAATCGTTCATTTCCCAAATCCACATCACCAGACGGATGTTGATGTTGAGCGTGGCCCCAACAGCGACACAGAGAGCCCACCGCGCAAGGAGGTGTACTACTACCAGCCCGACCTTGGTCTTGCCAAGCTCGAGTGCTTCGATGATGAAGAGGAGCGAAGCATGACGGTGCAGCACGCCCTGTACGCCGACTTTGCATAGCGCCAATCAATGTCATGTCTCGTAATGTAATGTCACGCAGGCCTGGATGTGTTGCCGCATCATGATTTGTAACAGCAAGTCGTTGTTGACTTTGTCATGTCATCACTCTTTTCACCCTCCTTGTTCCTGACTGCACTACATATTTTCGCTTGTCCCTGCTTCCTGCTTATGTGTGTGTGTGTGTGTGTGTGTGTGTGTGTGTGTGTGTGTGTGTGTGTGTGTGTGTGTGTTGGTGGCACACTTCTGACCTGCTTCTGAATGGTTGACGTATTCGCTCCCCCCTCCCTTTCTACTACGATTTGCCATTGTTCTCGTTGTTACCTTGCAGTTAATAAATGATGTGAATGCAACGCTCTTCGTCTCTCTGTCACTCCCAATTTCTCATTGTCGTTGGGTGCAGCTTAGCGAGGCCTTATTCTGAACGGCAACGTCTAACACGAACTGAGAACCACACGCGCACACACGCACGCACACACGCACGCACACACACACACACACACACACACAACAGAAGAGATGACTAGGAGAGAAAACAGTGGAAGGGACGAGTGAGCCAATTGTGCCATCAATCAACACGTGACATGACGTAATGTGATGGAATCACACACCCATGCACACAGCGAGACAGCAGCAGCAGCACAACACGACCAAGAGGAGGATCAGCACAGGAATGGGCAGCTAACGAGGGACGATAACAGAAAGCGAAAGCCTGACCGGTGTCACACAACAAACACAGCACACGCAACACAAAGACGGCCCATATACACAGCAACTACAGCAACAGTGACTGGAAGAGGGGGTTGGGGGCGCTACAACCACAACACAACGAGGCATGCAACTACAGACTCAAAGCAGCTTAGGAAGGGGGAGGGGGAAACCCCGTGACCCATGTCTCAGTCAAGTCGACCGGTGATTGGTTTGGTGGTTGTCACCCACTGGTTGCTCTGTTGACACGTGTTGACACGTGTTGACACGTGTTGGTTGGTGGGATGGCTGGGTGACTACTGCCCGCCCTTGCGGAAGAAGGCGACGTTTCGCTCGAGAAGGCCGCGGTCAACTTCGAAGAACGGCGAGCCGGGCAGCGTGTACGTCTTCGCAATCAGGTCAATCAGGTACTCCTGGCGGTGTTGCAAAAGGACACGCAGGCAGGCAGAGAAAGGGGGGGGGGGACTTGAGTGAGGGGGTGGGTAGGAATTGAAGCAGAGGAAGATGAGGAACAACAGGAAGGATGCCCAAGCATAGAGTGCAGCGAGGCACGTTGGCACACATGTTGTTGGATCGAATTGGATGGTTGGGGTGCATTGGATTAGGCGATGTGTTGTGTGTATTGAAAGTGTGGTGCGCTGGGATGGCTGCGTGGCTGCACCTGCAGGTCGTGTGCGCGCTGGTCGAGGAAATCCTTGTTGATGCGCGATTTACGCAGCCGCGTCGTCAGCACCTGAAGAAGACAGGACCATCGCACAACACGGGCAAGGTCCACACGTGTGAGAGAGGGCGGTGAGGATAAAGTGTGTGCATTTCAGGCCGAACACACACACACACACACACACACACACACACACACAAGAGATGAAGATGAGTTTGTTCACTGACGTGCTCTGGCGGAAAGTTGATGTATGAGACGATGCCACGCAGTTTGCTCTTCATCAAGCGATGAAGGTCCTTAAAGTGGCTGCAACACACACACACATACACATGCATATGGTGGCGTGAGTCAACACAAGTCAGTCCATGGGCCGAACATCCAGGTGATACGCAAAGCTATGCACAAATACGATGGAGCATGAGAGAGCTGCGAAACCAGCGACAACGGAGCGATGAGGGGGGGGGGGAGGATCGAGGACATTGGCGTGTCTGTGAACGTACTTGAAGCGTCGCCAGACGTACCACCGCTCGCCAAGGAGCGTCACCTCCACCTTAAACACGTGGAAGTCCCCGCGCGGCTTGTGCTGCGAGTGTGGGTGTGAATGAGCGAGAGAAACACACAGGTGAGAGGAAAGGGTGGCATACACAGCCAAAAAAGTGCAGTCGCCAAACTACAGCACACACAGACACACATACGGACACAGACACAGACACAAGACGCAGACACACGGCACACAGACACAGACACAGACGCAAGAAAACACACACACACACACACACACACACACACACACACACACACACACACACACAAAAGCACGAACAAATGGCAAGACAGGTACGTGCGGCTTACCTCCTGAACCTTAATGTCCCAGACTTCGTTGAAGCTTCGTTTGCTGGATCCCTTTGACTGCATCCTGCGCTCCTCGGCCTTTCGCGCCTCCTCGAGCTGCCGCTGCATCGCTTGCTTCTCTTCCTCCAGCCGCCGAACCTCCTCCTCGTGCTGGCGCTGTGCACGGCACCACGCCACAGGTGCACAACACAGACGCGGCGGTGAGTGTTTTTTTTTTTTTTTTTGGGGGGGGGGGGGGAAGGGTGAGGAGAGTGGTGAGAGCAGGCCACAGGAGCAATACGCACGGCAGCATGAGGTCAAAGAACAGCACACACACACACATGCACACACACAAACACACATGCCACACCTCCTTTGCCTCGAGGTCGGCTGCAAGCAGCGACGCTTTCGCTTCTTCTGCATCCTCCATCGTCGACGCAATGCTGTCGTCAATCTGGCAAAGCAATTTGCACGGACAGTGGGCAAGCGGTAAGGCGCGGCGGAGGTGAGCGTGCGTGTGCTATTGATATACAAGGCACACACACACACACACACACACACACACACACACACACACACACACGCGCGCGCGCGCGCATATTCATGCACATATACATACACACATACAAACACAAATACATGCACACATTAATACCCCTCCCACACACGTGTGAACGTGCCCGCACCTGCTTGAGGCTCTCCTCGTGCTGTCGCGCTGCTTCGTCCTGCTCCTCAGATTCCCGCAGCCGAATCGTCTTCATCTCTTCCTCAAGATGTTGCCTGTGCACAAACACACAAACATGAGATGATCTGTGCATACACACACACACCAAACACACAAGACAAACAAAACACATACTGACACTAAGACACGCACATTCAGTCAAACACACCCGCACCCACAGACACACACCCACACGCGCACCGCTGCTGTTCTTGGCGCTGTTTCTCGCTGTATGCGCGGTTGCGTGCCTCCTCCAGCTCCTGAATCCGCCGCTGCATCTCCTGCATGCGCTCCTCGGCCTCGCGTTTCCTCGCCTCCTCCTTCTCGCGTTCCTCCGCTGCTGCCGCTTCCTGCACCTGCCGCTGCTCGGCCTCCTGCTGCGTCTGCTCGCGAAGTTTCCGCAGCTCTTCCTCGGCCTGGCGCGCTCGCTCCTCTTCCTGCTTCACGCGCCCGTGCATCACCCACGTCTTCGATGACCTGTGGGGTCAAGGTGTGATTGGTGTTTTGTTTTTGTTTGGGGAATTGGTATGGAAAGCGTAGGGTCATGGATGAGACAATGCGACGATAGGGACATGACACGCTGTGGAAGCTGGAGTAATCAAACACACGCACACGTACACGCACGCAGCAGCCCACACACACACACACACACGCCCACACACACACACACGCACACACGCACACGCACACGCACACACATACGCACACACACACACATACGCACACACATACGCACCTGCGACCATCGCTGCCTTGCTGTGCAGCGCGCTGCTCGCGAAGACGGGCCGCCTGGGCCGGGTGGTTGAAGCGCAGCAGCGTGTCGTTGCCAAGCTGCACCGTCACACCCTGGTTCAGCTCAATCTCGCCGTCGACGGGGACACCGTCAACCAGCACCATGGCCTCCTCGCACGGGTGCAGAACCACGCGGTCGGCGCCGTCGTCGGCCGTAAACTCGACCGTGCAGTGGCGATCGAGCACATCCGAGTGGTCCAGGCTGATGTCGGGCTCGGGATCCGCCCCCTTGTGCCCAATCGTCGTCGTGCCATCGTGGATGTAGTACAGCACAATGCCCGTTGCCAGAGGGTCATCGAGATTCAGGCTGACGAAATGTGGCATTTCAGACTCGACCGTGAGCGCACGGCCAGCCTCCTTGAAGGCAAGGCCGCGGTCCTCCATGATCTGATGCATCGCATCAAACTTGCCCTGCAGATACGAATGAAGTACGTGCCGTGTGTGAGTGCGATGGAGTGAGTGAATGAATGTTGTGTGTTTGGTGAGTGAGTGAGTGAGTGAGTGAGTGGGTGAGTGAGTGAGTGAGTGTCATGATGTGCGTGCGATGATCGAGCAAAACATCAGCTTGTTCACCAAGCAAAAGTCAAGTTGTTCGTGCACATCACCAGCAACACAGTGAGCGAGTAGACGATCTTATTCGTCATCATTATGATCATCCATGGTGGACGTACCTTCCAGTCGCTGACCATGGCGTTCATCATCTGTTCGCTCGCAGCAATTTGCTGCTCAAGCTTCGACTGCATGCACGGCAAAAGCGCGTGCCAGTGCAAAAGTGTGCGCGTGAGACACATTAAGGACCACAATACGACACACAGCGCCTTCAGGGGCACACCCACGCACATACAGACACAGGCACAGGCACACACAGGCACACACGCACAAACACACACCCACGCACAAACACACACCCACGCACAAACACACACACACACACACACACACACACACACACACACACACACACACACACACACACACTCCGAGGCAACCCCCTCCCCCACACACACACAAACACATACCTTGTCAGCGCTCTGTGCGTCCGTGAGGGCCTGGTCAATCTGGGAGAGGGCCTGTTGCGCGGCGTGCTTCTCGTCGTCGGTGGTGGCGGCCGTCAAGCGCGCCTCTGCCTCCCGCCGCTCTCGCTCAAGCCGCGCAATCTCCTCGTCCCCGCCAATCAGCTTCTTCAGCCTGAACATCATGACGACGAAGGTGGAATGACGAGGGTGATGATGACGGTTATGGTGGTGCTGATGTGCGGGTGGCAGTGAAGTCATCAGCACAGCACACACAAAGCCCGCCCCCTCACACAAACCACGGAAGGCGCACGAAAGCATGAGAACATGGTGGATATCGGGGCACCTGTCGACTTCGGCGCGGAGTTCGCGGATCAGCCGGACATTCTCGTCCTCGTTCACAATCGGTTTGTTGACAATGTTCTTTGCCCGGTTGGCTGTAGTTTGGTTGGAGGGGGGAGGGAGGGAGTTGGTGACGCGGACGTGAATGCAGGGATTCTTTGAAGGGTTTGCTTTTCACACGGAGGCCGAAAAGAAAAGCACAAGCAAACGTTTGCACACAAATGTTCACACACCCAACAACAACAACAACAACAACAACAACAACAACAACAACAACAACAACAACAACAACAACAACAACAACAACAACAACAACAACAACAACAACGACGACGACGACGCAGTACCGTAGTGGAGGGTGCTGAGGGTTTCGCCGTAGTTGATGTTTGCCGGGCTGATGGCTGCAACCATGATGGTCTTGGAGTTTCCACCCAGGGACTCCTTCAGCAGCCACGTGAGGACGGAGTCACGGTAGGGGATAAAGTGGCCCTTCTTCTTCTTCTTTGACGGGCTGGAGCGCTCAGCAAGCGCCGAGATGCACAGCCCAAGCGTGGTGAGGGACTTGTTGATGTTGCCGCCCTCCACCAGGCGCTGGCCCGTGGCCTTTGTCGCGGACGTGCGCTCGCTTCCCGCCAAATCCACCAGGTTGATCTTGCTCGACTTCTCCGAGGGGATGCCGGCGACAAACGACGCCTGCTTGAACTCAATCGTGAACACGGCATGGGAGCGGCTGCTCGTGTCGTTCATCCCCGTGGCCGCGGTTGTCCGGTTGTCATTGCCAAGGTCCATCAGCTCCTGAATCTGCTCAAAGTCCGTCACCTCGTGCACGGAGAGGCCGTCGACAAAGGGGCCCGTCTTTGGGTGCTCGCGCACCTTCAGCTGCGTTTTGGCGGGAGAATTGGTGAGCAGGTCACGCACACGCTCGTTGTAGATCTCAAGATAGCTCACGGTGGCGACAAACTTTGTTGTCTCGTCCGTCTCTGCCACCACGCGCTCAAAGATGCCCTCGCAGATGCGCGGGATCAGCCCAATCTCCTCCTGGTGGTGGTGGTGGTGGGGGTGGCGATGGTGGTGGGCAATTTGGCGTGGTGTGGATGAGGGTGGGGTATGAGGGGATGGGAGGGCGGGTGTGTGTGTTGGGTATGGGTGTGTGCGTGTAAGGAACCGCTGTGTTTGAATGCTGGTTGAGCAAGCGTGAAAGCGGTGAGTGATTATTAAGTGTGTGCGTCCACACGCGAGGGAGAAATGCAAGCGGTGGATGGGCTCAAAATGATGGCGCGCGTCTTACCCCGTATCCCATCATGGTGTAGGACTTTCCGGCACCGGTCTGGCCATACGCAAACACACATGCGTTGTAGCCCTCAAACGCTGCATCCAGGACGTCTGTGCCCAGGTCCTTGAACACCTGCGGGTCACGTGTCGCAAACAGCCAAAGAGGGAAGGCCACGGTCATGAGCAGGTGTATGGGGGAAAAGCAGGTCGTGCGGTCCATGCCCGTCCAGCATTTGTGCGTGGAGATGCTTTGCTGCTGAAAGGGGCTCCGCAGCGTTAGGCGGCAACGGCGTGCCTTGGATGCACACACACACACACACACACACACACACACACACACACACACACACACACACACACACACATCCGGAGAAATATGCACACAAGGAGAAACATGTGCACACATAGCAACATTCACACAGCTGGCATTCACATATGGATTTGCTGCAAACCTGCTCCTGCGGCGTGTAGTGGGCGTCAGACTTGTTGTAGGACCAGTAGCTGTGATCAAAGGTGAACCGCTTCACATCATCGCCACCAGGACTGTCCTGCTCCAGCAGAAGGGCGACAATGTGTATGTGTGTGTGTGTGTGTGTGTGTGCGTGTGTGTGTGTGAGTGAGTGGCGTGTGTGAGTGCACAGGGGGTTGCTGGAGGATGAGCAAGAGGGCGGATGGAGCTCAAGCCTTGGCAGCAAGGCGTCGCTGCAACGCAGCCAGTAGATGGTGCGCACCTTGTTGTGGAGCAGGGTTTGGGTTCCTTTCATTTCCACGATACATTCTGCCTTCTTCTTCTTCTCACTGCATCAAAGTGAATTGCAAAGACGTGTGTGTGTGTGTGTGTGTTTGTGTGCGTGTGTGTGTGCGTGTGTGTGCGTGTGTGTGCGTGCGTGAGGGAGCAGGATGCGTTGTGACATGACATGACGTGGTACAAGGCTGGGCTGTTCGCAAACACAGCACACACACACACACACACACACACACACACAAACACACAACCACAAAGAAGCCACACTACGTACCGGTCGTTCATGGGACGAACGCGCACGGCGACGCGCACAGCACCAGCGTTGCTCATGGTTGTTGCTGATGGTGACAACACAAATCAACACCACAAGGCAGCCAGACAGCGAGGCCAAACCAAACAACACAACACACCACCACACCAAACAACACTCGTGCTTCTTTTGACTCGCTCGCTCGCTCGCTTTTGCCTTGCGTGTCCTCTCTGTCTGTCTCCTCCTGCTGCGCTGCACACACAAACAAAAAGGGCAACAAGCTGCTGTGCTGTGTGGGCGAGAAGGAAAAAGAAAAATACACAAGCGCACCAAAAACCGCTGACGTCAGCAAACTTGTTTGTGGAAAAAGTGAGGAAATCTTCTCCTATTTTCGGAGGCGTTTTGTGGGAGGAGACAGAGTGCTGGACAACAACAACAACAGCTCACACCCACCAACCCACCTCAACACACCCACCTCACCTCGCTGCCTGTGACGATGGAGCGAGCAGACGAGATTGACGAGACAGACCTGGACGCTGTCGATGAGCTGCCAGGTCAGCTCACGGATCCCGATTCGGAGCGGGAGGGTGGCGCAGGCGGCACGCTGATGTTCCAAGACACCACGGCCGTGGATCGCAGGTCAACCAGGTTCGACCGCGATGAGGAGGACGCTGCCGAACGCGTGCGCATGGCACGATCTGAGGCCGGTGGGTTTGATCAGCCTCCATCTTGCTACCCAACGCTCGAGGAGCTCTACGGCGGCTCAAACAAGGTGTGTGCGTGTGTGTGTGTGTATGTGCGTGTGTGTGTGTGTGTGCGTGTGCGTGCGTGTGCGTGTGTGTGCGTGTGCGTGTGTGTGCGTGCGGGTGTGCGTATCTGTCTTCGGGCATGCGTGCGTTCACGAGCCAGCGGCGTACCACAGTGACCTGAGTGTGGATGGTCCTGATTGTGTTGGGCCACGCTGTGTTGGTCGCTGCATTGGCTGATCTGCAGTTCAAGCGAAACTAGGTGGCTGACAGTGCATGCGCACTCCCCACACACACCACACACACCACACACACACACGCACACGTAGGAAATGATTGGCAAGTGTGTGATGGCACACTGCTGCGATGAGAATCCCAAGAAGATTCACGCCGTGCTGCAGTATGAACTGCCCAAAGACAAGGCGTTGCGCGACAAGGTATATGCGGTCTAGATATGATGGAATCACACACACACACACAAACCATCACACACACAGACATACACACAGACATACACACACAACCTATCACACACACAGACACACACACACACATCATCATCATTCAGGTGTACTATTGTCTGGGGACAGTGGTTGTCTTTGTGAACGCGTTGCTCCATTCAACTCACGGCCGCCGTGCCTCAACTGAATGCATGTTTGCAGGTGCTCAACATCGAGCGCAAAGACTACCAGTACTTTGAACGGCTTTCGAGTGCGGAGTTTGATAAGATGACGGATCTTGTGAAGAACGTGCACCGGCGCCGCTTCTTTGAGCTCGAGCTCACGCAGGAAGATATTGCAGCAAAGATTACAGAGCTGCAGGGCCTCGCTGATGAGGTGTGGCATCACGGCGTGTGTGTGTGTGTTGACGTGTGTGTGTGTGTGTGTGTGTGTGTGTGTGTGTGTGAGACTGCAGCTCTTGAGGAAGGTGAGCACAGAGAGGCGGACAGACACGGCACACACGAACAGGTCACACAGAGATGCAAAGACACGCATGCACACAGACACAGGCACGCACACACATGCACCTCACGAGTGTTGCATCTGGTTGCGGTCACAGGGTGTTGCGACCAAGGCGCAGCTGAAGGACCTGAAGAAGAAGAAGCGCCACTATGAAGAGCAGGCGGTGGTCATTGAGAAGGAGCTCAAGGTCACGGAGGGCGAGAACGACATTGTGTTTGTCAAGGTGCACGTGCCATTTTCGGTGCTCCTGAACGAGGCAGAGCGCGCCCACCTCAAGATGCAGCTGCGCACCGACAGCGTGCGCACATCTGTTTCCCGCCAAACTTCGGAGACGCGCAACCTGCTCAGCCTCTCCACCATCATGGATGGTGTCGACAACGTCAAGCGACACCTCAAGTCAGTGGCTGCATATCCTGCGAGTCGTGGCTGGAGGTCAACCTGGTGCTGCCGATGCGCGTGCACTGTATTGCGCACATGCGCACAGGAAGATGGGCGGACAGGCAGACACACACACACAGACACACACACACACACACACACATACAGAAAGACACACATACAGAAAGACACACACACACACACACACACCACACAGACACACACACCACACACACACAGAGTACTCCATGGTAACCCCACACACCACTCACACTGTCACTGCGCTGCCATTGGTTTAGCTTTGAGAAAACGCTGGACCCGGACGTGTTCCGTCTCGTGTTCACCGTCAAGAACCGCGAAAACTTTGTCAATCACGACTCTCCACAGCTGTTCTTCACACAGGTACAGCACGCATGCAAGCACGTGCATGACACATACGCGTGTGCGTGTCGAAACTCCACCCTGCCACCATATCCACCATCACCACCCTCATTGTTGCCACCGCGACCACCATCAATCACCATCCTGCTCCTCCTCCTGCTCCTCCTCCTGCTCCTCCTCCTCCCCCTCCTCACCATCATCATCACCATCACCATCATCACCACCATCAGGCACAGGAGCTGTACTTGACGGACCGGGTGCTGAAGACGCGCCGCTACGCTCCGCGCGCATCTGTACCCGAGGACGACTCGTTCCAGGTGCGCTATTCGTCATGGCGATAGCGGTGGTCATGGTGGTCATGGTGGTGGTGGTCATGGTGGTCATGGTGGTGGTGGTCATGGTGGTCATGGTGGTCTGTTTGACACGCATGCGTGCGTGGGCTGCACAGCACGCAATTTCAATGCCCACCTCTGACATCCATTCTCTCCACCACACCGTGACCCCCACGACCTCCCCACGCGTCAGATTGGCTATGAGCGGCTCATCCACAAGGGCGTGTACACAAAGGCGTTCCCACTGCACGACTCAGACCTCTCTGGTCTGCAGCAGGGCCAGCGACTGCAGTTGGACGACAAGTGGGCAAGCTGGAAAAACTGGTGTGTACGTTGTGTGTGCATTTTGTGTATGCATTTTGTGTATGCATTTTGTGTGTGTACGTTGTGTGTGTACGTTGTGTGTGTGCATTTTGTGTATGCATTTTTTGTGTGTACGTTGTGTGTGTGTGCATTTTGTGTCTGCGGTTTGTGTGTGTGTGTGTGTGTGTGTGTGTGTGTGTGTGTGTGTGTGTGTGTGTGTGTGTGTGTGTGTGTGTGCATGTGCATGTGTGTGTGTGTGTGACGGTACTTGACAATTACTGCCGTGTGAAAGCTGCTGCCTTCTGCTCCTTTGATTGCCCTTTGCGTGTGTGAAACTCGCCATCCATCACACCTTTCGTCTCCAACACCTCCTCACCCCCCTCCTCCTTTTCAGGTACCACCACCAGCCAATTGACACTGTTCGCGACTACTTTGGGGAGCGCGTTGCCTTCTACTTCCTGTGGCTTGGCTTCTACACCAAGTGGCTGGTCGTGCCGGCTGCTCTCGGTATTGTCACGTTCTTCATCGGCACGGGCCTGCTCGACTCTGTGGATGTGCAGGAACTCTGCAACAGGTGTGTTGCTGGTAGACGCAATGGGGTGGGGCACGGTGTCATCGTGGTTAGTGTGTCATTGTGTTGGAATGTGTGGTTGCAGTAATGTTTTGGTTTGGGTTCTCTTTCACTCAAGCATACACGTGTGCGTATTCATCTGTTGGCGGATGTGCGTGTCTCGCAACTCACGATCACACATACACACACACACACACACACACACATACACACACACACACACACACGAACCCCAGCACGAAGACCATCTGTGCCACGTGCTCGTCGTGCGAGACGTGGTCGCTCAAAGACGCGTGCCAGGCCTACCGCTACAGCTACCTCATCGACAACCACGCCACCGTCGCCTATGCCGTGTTCATGTGCCTGTGGGCAACGCTGTTTCTCGAGTTCTGGAAGCGGCGGCAGATCCGCGCCGCGTGGTCGTGGGGCGTGAGCGACTTCCAGGTGGGATGGTGACGGTGACGATGGTGGTGATTGGTGGCAGGTGATGGTGGGCAACAGGACAAGACTGCATGTGTTTACGTGCGTGTGCGTGTGCGTACGTGCGTGTGCGTGCTTGCGTGCGTGTATGGGGAAATCGCTTCGTTTCTATGCTTGTTGTCATGTGCTGTGCAGTCTGCTCCCTCAATCTGCTGTAATTGCCGATGCATCTCGTCTTGTTCATGCACGCATGCACACATTCACGGCTTGACGCGTCCATCATCTTCGACAGAAACTCGAACCACAGCGACCCGAGTTCCAGGGAACGCTCACATTTGACCAGACAACAGGCCTCTTGCACGTGAGTGCACATGTGCCACTGCTTGTGCACGTGCATGTGCGTGCGGCTGCGTGCGGCTGCGATTGCAATATTCTCTATTGTGGCGTTTCGGGGAAGATATGACTTGCAAAGCTCACAAACCACAATCAACACGCGCAATCAACACGTACACTCGATACGCACACACACACACACACACACACAAACACAAACACATGCGCACAAACACACACATACACACATGCACATCCGCACGCCAGACGTTTTATCCGCAATCGAAGCGCGTGCGTCAGTACATTGCCAACGCCATGCTGGTTGCATCCATGCTGGCGTTTGTGGTGCTCGTTGTGCTCGGTCTCGCTGTGCTGCGCATCATCCTCAGAGACGCCCTCTACAGCTCCAATCCGGGCGGGGTACGTTGCTGTTGGCATCGCTGCTGTTGGGGGTTGTGCTGGTTGCTCGCGCGTGGCACATGTCTGATCGATGCTTTCCCCACGCAACCCCTAATTCCACTCTTGTGCACACACACACACACACACACACACACACACACACACACACACACACACACACACACACACACACACACACACACAGGCGGCTGCAAACCAGCTCAACGACTTGGTGACTGTGTTTGTCTCTTCTCTGATTCTCGTCCTCATCATCGTCGCCCTCAACCACGTGAGCACCACCTCATCCTGTGCAATCCCCGTTGCAATGTGTGCAAGTCACAAACGTGTGCAAGCGTACCTCTGTGTGTGCTGGGTCTCACTTACACACAGCCTCACAAATCCATACACACATGCACACACACACACACGGCCCCTGTCCCCTCACTCACTCTCACACTCACTTACGCCCCCACTTACGTGCTCTGCATGCACGGTTGCAGGTGTACAACCGGCTGGCTGTTGTACTGACGGATTGGGAGAATCACGAGCGCGCCTCTGACTACGAGCACGCGCTGGCCATTAAAGTGTTTGCATTCCAGTTTGTCAACAACTTCTGCTCCATGATCTACGTCGCCTTCTTCAAGGTGCGGTGTGGGTCTGTGCGCGTGGTGTGCGTGTATGATTGTATGCGTGCGTGCGTCTATGCATGTGCATGTGCGCGTGCATGATCGTGTGTGCGCGCGCGTGTGTGATTGTGTGATTGTGTGATTGTGTGATTGTGCGTGTGTGCAGGTCCTTGCATCCGTGCATTTCCACCTACATATCACTCAATGCTGCCCGTGATCACGTGTGCGGCGACAGGGAACATTCAATGATCGGCCGGGGCAGGAGGCGCGCATCTTCGGCTATGCGCAGGTGCACATTCATCGTGACAACAGCCCAGTGTTGTTCATTGGGTTGATCCTGTTCACATACATATACGCTCTCTGATGCATACAAACATGCACACATACATACGCTGACACATGCACACACACATACACATATTCTGATGCATACAAACATGCACACATACACACGCTGACATGACCTTTCTCCCTCCCTCACTCACTCCTCTATTTACACCACGCTGCCCCTACCACGGCCACCAGGACGGGTGCCCGGAGTACGGGTGCCTGCTCGAGTTGACCATCCTGCTGGGTGTCGTTATGATCGGACGTCAGGCCGCAGGCAACATCCGCGAGATTGTGGTTCCAAACGTGTTTGCGTTTGTCAACCGCCGCTCTGCCCGATACACAAAGCGCCGCTCCTCCTACATGCAGGTGCCGCACATGTGTACATGTGTACGTGTGTATGCTTGTGTGCAAGTGCGTGTATGTGTGTGCGTATGCTTGTGTGCAAGTGTGTGTATGCTTGTGTGCAAGTGTGCATTGATTTGGTGCGTGAGTTGGAAGATGACAGAGAGGGGGTGAGTGGTTGTGTTACACACTCCCGTGTGGATGTGCCATTCTTACATCGAAGGGGCGAGTCATGTTCGTCCCCTTATCCGTTCCGGCATGTTGCTCATCACCCTCTCCCCCCTCCTCCCTCCTCCCCCCCCCCCAACTGCGCTTGTGGGACACATGAACACTGTTCAACATGTACATGTGTGCAGGCAGCTGTGCCGTGGGAGGCGCAGTCGGTCATGGCGGGCGTTGGCAAGCTTGGCCTCATCCAGGTGCGTGCGTGTATGTATGTGTGTGTATGTATGTGTGTAAGTATGCATGTGAGAAATGCGAAAGGGCAACAAAGTGCTTGAACCTTGAGCAGTGCACATCCCACATACCGCTTGCACCCGAAACACGCACACACACACACACACACGCACACGCACGCACGCACACACACACACACACACACACACACACACACACACACACACACACACACACACACACACACACACACACACACACACACACGCACACACACACATACACACACACACACACACGCACATACGCAGGAGTACCTGGAATTGATGATCCAGTTTGGGTTCATAACGCTGTTTGTGACGGCGTTCCCGCTGGCGCCGCTGTTTGCGCTCATCAACAACGTCACAGAACGCCACGTCGACGCCATCAAGAAGACAAGGGTGAGGCACCCGTGTCACCTGCTGACGAAGAGAGGAAGGCGCACTGTGTGTGTGTGCGTGTGTGTGTGTGCGTGTGTGTGTGCGTGTGTATTGCATATGTGACAGAGCTGTTGCTTGTGTCACTGGAGCACATCCACAACCATCCTCGTCACCACAACCATCCACTCATCACAACCGTTTACCCCCCCCCAACAAAAAATATCACCACCCATCATTGTCACCTCCGTCATGGCTGCAGATCCACCGCCGATCGTTTGCAGACGCGACGAGCAGCATCGGCGTGTGGTTTGACATCCTCAACTTCCTCAGCGCCCTCGCTGTTGTGTTCAATGGCTTTGCCATCGCCATCACCTCCAACTACATCCCGCGGCTCGTGTACTCGGAGACGGAGGGCACGCTGCGCGGCTTCATTGACGCGCGCTACTCGTACGACGCAGCCAACGACTGCTTCTACCGGGTAATGCGTTCATGCCGTGGTTGTGGCTGTGTTGGGTGGTGTGTCGTGGATGGTGTGTGTGTGTGTGTGTGTGTGTGTGTGTGTGTGTGTGTGTGTGTGTGTGTGTGTGTGTGTGTGTGTGTGTTGT